ATTTGGTGGAGTTTCGGGCAGGGAAAATGTCGTTAAAAGGAACCACCGTCACCCCAGATAAACGGAAGGGGCTTGTGTACATTCAGCAGACGGACGACTCCCTCATTCACTTTTGCTGGAAGGACAGGACATCTGGGAACGTGGAAGACGTAAGTGCCCGTTGGCCTGGACCTGCGGCCGCGCGGCCGCTGCGCCCCCATGGAGCGCCGTCGGCGGGATCGGCGGGAATCCCCGGGGCCCTGTTGGCGCTGCACGTTTGGCGTTGCCTGTGGGCCCTGCCCTCGACGACTGTGGATTCCCGCCGTCCCTCGGTATGCTGAGCAGAAAACTAGGCGTCTGCAACTGCAGCGGCCGCGCACAGACCCCGGCCTCTGCCCCAGCACCCCAGAGAGCCTGCGGTGGCCACTCTACGTAGGGTTCTTTGTTCCTCAGCCTGACTTGTTCTTTTAGCAGTTCAGGGTTGACTTTTTTTTTTTACTCATCTTGGAATGTTCCCCAAATGTCTCTATTAAAAATCCTTCAAAAGCCAAAAGGCCACCTTCCCCTTTTCAGTGCCAAGCCCCTCTCGCGGCTCTGAGGCCCTCTCGGGGCTCTGAGGCCCTCTCGGGGGGGTGTCTGAGCCTGGCACACCCGCTCGGGGGAGGCCCTGCTGGTGAGGCTTTTGGTGGCTTGCTCATCTCTGCCCTGTGTCCCCAGCCCACGCACTCAGACTTGGGGCTCAGCATGTACTCCCAGGAGGTGCCGGGACCCCAGCATGCATGTTTCTGTGGCTCTCTGTAGGATCTGATCATCTTCCCCGATGACTGTGAGTTCAAGCGTGTGGCGCAGTGCCCCAGCGGGAGGGTCTACGTGCTCAAGTTCAAGGCAGGGTCCAAACGGCTCTTCTTCTGGATGCAGGTATGCAGAAGGTTTCGTTGCACTACATCTTTTTATCACCTTCACGAAATTAGATTAGACACGGGCTTGCTGGACGGTAGAGTGCGCTTTGACAAACCAGCTGGCTTGACCGAATGTGATTGCCACAGAACCTAAGAATTCTGGTGCACTTCCTGGAGGGGGTGTTGGGGTAGGGGTGCTTTTCCAGGGCCCAAACACTTGTGGCTGGGCTCCCAATATGGGATTCCCCGGCAGACTGAAAAAAGAGTGCCTCCTGGGTTGGGCCTGTCTCACTCCATTGATGGGCCCTAGGCCTCTGGTTGCCTTTTCTCCCAGTGACCCTCAGGGGTCGTGAGGGCCCTAGAGCAGAAGCAAGGAGGACCACAGTAGTCTCCCCTCTCTGTTTTATAGAAATGGGGCCTCCTCTCAGCTCTGCTGAGCCCTGTCCCTGCTCTTGGATGTGTGCTCTGGGATCTGTGGGTGTCCGTGCGCCCCAGTGTGGCCTCTCTCCACAGCCGCAGTGTTGCCTGAGCCGAGCATCCGGCATTCCTTCTACCCTCTGTAGGCCAGGGGCTTGTCTCTGTTGTAAGAAGGGTAATCTGGATGCCCAGGAGGGCTTGCTGGGCCAGGGAGTACACGTGTGCATGTGCAGTTGACACAAATGTTACCGTGGCCCCTCCCCAGAGGTTGGGCCTGGAGCCCGGTCTGGAGCACTTCCTGGAGCAGGGCGGAAAGTCCTCTTCGTGAGCCTGATGGCCTGTGTTGCCGCTGCTCCCCTCTGCCATGTAGTGGGAAAGCAGCTGCGGACAGTGAGTGGATGAGTGGGTACGGCCCTGTTCCAATAAAGCTTTATTTCCAAACACAGGTGGGGCTGTGGTTTGCCGACCGCCGGTGCAGAACTTGCTTTTCCACGGTCTTGCCAGGAGGTGTCAGGCCCACAGTGCTGCCTTTCTGTTCCTCCTGATGCTGCCCGTTTGGTGGCTCTCCTCCACTTTGCCCTGAGGCTGGGACAGTGTCTATCTTGTCCTTCTCCTATGTCCCCAGCACCCTGCAGGGCCCGAGCACACCTCAGCATCTGTCCCTGGGTGGCTCTGACAGTTCTGGGAGTTGTTTACAGGGTCCCACTGACCTCCCCCCCACTGCCTTGCCGCTGCTTATGTTGAGTGCCGGCCTCCTGCCTTGTGTAGTTCCCAAGTAACCCTGAGGCCGTGGTGTTCCGTGGGCAGTGATGTGGCCAAAGGGTCGTTCCATTGCATCACCCGTGTTGAAGAAAGGGTTTATGGTTTGTAGACCATCAAATGTAGAACCAACTCTCAGGGGGCTGGAGGGCGTGGTCCTGTGCATGTGGCCTGCTCGTGGGGCCTGAGCCTCTGGTCCCTCCCCCATAAGCCGGGTCAGTGGCTCTGTTGCAGGTGTCTGTCCTTCCCTGCAGGAGCCCAAGGCAGACCAGGACGAGGAGCACTGCCGGAAGGTCAACGAGTGCCTGAACAACCCCCCAGTGCCCGGAGCGCTGGGGACAAGTGGGAGCGGAGGCCATGAGCTGTCTGCGCTCGGCGGTACGGCCCCCTCGGGGTGCTGCGAGGTCCATGGGGAGTCTGTGACTGGGTCTTGACAGGGTAGGCTGCTTATTTGCAAGTGCAAATGGAGGATTCCAAATCAAGAGCCCCCCTTACAGGCTCCAAGTCAGTCCCCACTGCCGTCCTCCTGTGGCAAAGCAGTATTTGAGCTCTGCCCTGTTCACTGTACAGGTCGGGGTAGCTGGGGGTGGGGACGTTACCACGGGGGATGTCGACTGCCTGTGCTGGAGGCCCCTGGCACCTCAGGCCCCTTCCAGGAGCCCCAGCCCGTGGCACTGTGGCTGTCCCCGGCCGCAGGCAGGCGTCATGTCTGAGCACCTTGTCTTCCAGGTGAGGGTGGCCTGCAGAGCCTGCTGGGGAACATGAGCCACAGCCAGCTGATGCAGCTCATCGGACCCGCCGGCCTCGGGGGGCTGGGTAAGGCACCCGCCGTCAGGGGCCTTGGTCACGCATCAGGCAGCCTTCAGCGGTGGCTGCTTTTGATTGAGTCTCTGTCTTCTGATTGGCTCTGTCTGAGCACTGGCCTCCCTAGGGAAGAGCCTGGTGCCAACCACTGGAGCCGGGAGCTGGACCTAGCCCTGAACTTCAGCGCGCACCGGTTGGGCTGGGTTGGGTGTGCTTTGCGGACATTTAAGAAATACTCTGTGTACCAGATTTGGACTACACGTTACCTTGAACCTAAATGCATTCATAATGTAACGGGATGTACAGAAATGATCTGTTACTACCATCTGAGTAGTTGCTGCTCTCACCCCGCCATTGTGGTCGCCACCCCCTGCTTGTCCCCTGGCTTTGGTGTGGGGTGTTTCTGCTCGTTAGGCAGGGGAAGGTGGGCTCTCTAGGTGCGTGTGACATCTGCGCTCCTGTCTCCTTGTCCCTCATAGGTGGACTGGGGGCCCTCACCGGTCCAGGCCTGGCCAGCTTACTGGGGAGTGGAGGGCCTCCGGCAAGCAGCTCCTCCTCCAGGTGAGCCTCACCCGGCCCCCACCCACCTTCACATGCCCCCAGGGTCCTCTGCCTCAAGGAGACCGGACATAGGAGGGTACCGAGGAGGGTCCCCTTTGTGATCTAGACTCTCCCTGGCCTCTGGGGCAGGACTGACGTGTCACGGGCACCTTTGTGGGCGTGTGGCCACTCCAGTGCTGCCCCCGCTCTCCCCAGCTCCCGGAGCCAGTCCGCCGCAGTCACCCCGTCCTCCACCACCTCTTCTGCCCGCACCACCCCAGCCCCTTCTGCTCCAGCAGCTGCCTCGGCCACCAGCCCTAGCCCCGCGCCCAGTTCAGGTAACGGAACCGGCACAGCAGCCAGTCCGGCCCAGCCCATCCAGCTGAGCGACCTCCAGAGCATTCTAGCCACGATGAGCGTGCCGGCCGGGCCCGGAGGCGGCCAGCAAGGTAACAGGAGCCCCTCAGCTCCAGGTGGGCGTGAAGGTGCCTGCCGCCCCACCTGCCTGCCTGCTGGCTCTCTGAGGCGTGTTGGGCACGTCCCTGGGCTGCCCTACGTGCGCATCACCTCACCCCCCCCGGCAGCTCCACGGCCCGGGAGCCTGCGGATGTCCTCCTACGTGGGCATCCGAGTGGCCTCCAGCCGCTGATGGCCGTGCTCGCACCCTAGTTGACCTGGCCAGCGTGCTGACGCCCGAGATCATGGCGCCCATCCTTGCCAACGCAGACGTCCAGGAGCGTCTGCTGCCCTACCTGCCCTCCGGGGAGTCACTGCCACAGACCGCAGAGGAGATCCAGAACACGCTGACCTCGCCCCAGTTCCAGCAGGTAGCCTTGGGGGCTGGGCGCCCCGCCTGCCCTCAGTGCCTGTCACCCGGTGTCCCCGCGCTGTAGCTGTCTGAGTGACTGCAAAAGGCACACTTAGGGGTCCTGGCTCTTCCTCGCAGGCCCTGGGCATGTTCAGCGCCGCCTTGGCCTCGGGGCAGCTGGGCCCCCTCATGTGCCAGTTTGGCCTTCCTGCTGAGGCCGTGGAGGCTGCCAACAAGGGCGGTGAGTACCTGCTCATCTGCTCTCCTCATGAGAAAACAAGCCCGTCTGTTCGCAAAGCAGGGGCCGACCGTCCTGGCAGCCCCAGGCCGTGGGCTGCTGCTTGCCTCCTGTCCCCTCTGGTCAGCAGTCCCGGGCCAGGGTCTAGAAAGGTCACCCCACACTTTTAAATGCGTTTTAGACGTGGAAGCATTTGCCAAAGCAATGCAGAGCAGTGCCAGCCCTGAGCAGGAGGGCGACGGGAAGGACAAGAAGGATGAAGAGGAGGACATGAGCTTAGACTGAGTGGCTGCTCCCTTCCGGGCCAAGGGGCTTGGCTGTGTGCTTTCAGTAGTGACATCCGTGACCCGTTGCGTGCTCTCACACCTCTTCCAACTTTCGAAGAAATAAAAGTCTTTTCCTGTATGTGCCAACTCCAGCTTGTGTGTGCCTGGCACGGGCGGGAGGTGCCCATGGTTCAGGGAGCCCCCTCCCCGGGCATTCGCCTCCTGCAGGAGCCCTTGGCTGGTTCCCACTGCCAGACGTAGACCTGTCTCACATTTAAATCAACACTCAGTTAATAAAAGATACTTTTTAATTTTTGTTTTAAGCAGTAGGGGCCAGTGATTTACACATCTCTCCTGTGAAAAATGGTAGAAGGAAAACTTCATAATTAAGCTGAAAGATAAGAAGTATAAAAAACCCATTTTACAGTATTTTGCCCATTTGTTTGGTAAGTCAGACATAACTTAAACCATTTCCAGAAGGAAGATTTATCACCGGTAGAACCTGGAGTCTAGATGAATACATACATACATCCCGGAGAGGAGCTGAGGGTACAGTGGAGGGGCTGTGGGTCTGAGAGGCGAGACACTGGTGGCCTGGGGCAGCCCACCCATGGGCTCCAGGGAACCTTGAAGACTCCTGCATGGCTTCTGGAGGGGCAGCCTGGGTTCCACGGGCAGCTGTGCTATGTGGCTGGGCAGCCACTGGCCCCCACAGCCCCCTGAACACGGGCAGAGTGAGGCAGGGTGACCGGGGACTGGTTCACTCCCAGATTCCTCATGCAGCCAAGATAGGCTTGAGGCCGAGAGCGCATCCAAGTGGGGGGCCCAGCCTGTGCATCCATGGGTTCTGGGGGTGTGGGAGGAGACAGGTTGGAGCAGAGACCAGTGCCCCACTGTCCCCCTCCACCACCACCAAGCTGTGGGGTGGGGTGGCCCCAGAGCCTGGTCCCTGAGGGGCTGAGGCCGTACTCACCAGGCAGGCCCCCAAGGTGCAGAGACACCAGGGTGTCAGCCAAGGCCGCTGGCTCGGGGCCCAGGGTGTGGTTGCTCTGGGTGTCCACCTCCAGCCGGAGCACGTTCCCACCTTTAGTCACTGCAGATACAGGCTCCTTGTGGATGGGCGGAGGGGCCCCCTCACCAGCCGTGTGGGGAGGGCTCCTGGCTGGCTGTGTTGCTCAGACCCTCAAGTCCCCTGCCTCGGGCCTGCAGCTGCCCCCTTCAGGGTTCCTCCCAAGCCCTCTGCAGAAGGTGAGAGAGGGCCCAGCTCACCTGCCAGCCGGTGCCACTGTCCATCACACAGTGCCGCAGGGCATGTCACCCATGTGGCGAACTGACCAGCACCGTCGTCGGCCTGCAGCAGGACCTGGGGCAGGGGGTGGTCAGGAGTGCCCTGCCGAGCCCAGACCCACCCCACGGCACAGCCCCCACACAGCTTACCTGCTTGTCCAGCACCTGCAGCTGTAGGTAGGGGGGTGCCTGGACCCTACCCATGTGGAAGATAAGGCTGCTGCTTGTCTGGGGCCGTACCTCCAGCTCCAAGCCCACGTCAGAGAGAGTGACCCCCAGGGTGTCTGTGGGGAGAGGCCATGAAGGGAGTAAGGCCCTGGCCCCTCCCTCTGGGCCCCCCCCCACACACCAGGGGCACACACTGAGGGCACACCAGCCTCTGACTGACCTAGAGTGACAGCTCCCCCACTGCCTGTGAAGAGCAGGCCCTTCTCCAAGGGGCCTGAGGAGCAGGGTGTGACCCCCGCCATCCTCGAGGGTTCCCCCAGGGGCCGCCCATCCAGCCTCAGTCTCTTCACGCAACCGCTGAACCTGGAGCTGCTCAGGGCTGCCTGTGGGGCACAGATGGGTGGGCAAGGGGTCAGGTCCCAGGGTGCTGAGGAGGTGGGCTGCCTGCAGCCAGACGGGGGCTAGTGTCAGGCACTTCTCACCCGGAGCTTGGGGCTGCGGCTGCCAGGAGGGAGGCCCCCAACAAAGAGAGTGTGGGGCCAAGGGCCGTCTGCTTCCTGGTACTGCTGGCCGGGCCCCTCCTGGCCCTGGGCCCAGACCCCATCTGTCACCAGCCGGATCCGCGATTTCTCCCAGCGCACAGACACCTGCCGGCAGGGGAGAGGCGCGTTGGGGTGCTGGTTCCCGGGGCCCTGCCCGTGTCCTCTCCCAACCCCTCACCGTGTGCCACTGGCCAGCCCGTAAACGCTGGCGGCTCCGGACGTGGAGCTGGGGCCCAGGGCCTTCTGTCTGAGCGACGAAGTGTCCGCGGCTCAGAAGGAGAGCCAGCGAGGGGCTGCCCGCCGCCAGGGGCACTGCGAGCAGCAGGAGTCCTCGCGGGGTGTGAGGGCGGATGAGCAGAGACAGGTGTGACCTGGGGGCCAAGCAGGGCCGTCAGCCAGGGGGCAGCCCTCCCCGCCCTCCCCACCTGACCTGGCCTTACCAGTTCCCTGGGGGTGCCGGGAGGCCTGTGAACTCCAGGTGACTGGACAGGGCCCCACCAAACTGGTAGGCATCTCGGATGGTCCTGAGGGTCCGGGGTAGTGTGCAGGCAGGGCCCCGGGTGGGCGGGCGGCTGCGGCGGAAAGCCTGGGGGCAGCAGATAGGGATGGAGGGTGTGTGGAAGCCACCACCCACCTACCCCCGGTTTTGCCGGCAAACCACCCGGGGGCCCCACCTTCCGAGCTGCTGCAGCACGCAGTCCTCGTGACGCTGGGCCCAGGGTCTGCGTGCCGGGGGCCGGGGCGCAGCCTGAGCTCACGTTGACGCCGCCCACGCTCTGCTGAAGGTCAAACACGCGCTGAGGCCCCAGGAGTCTACAGAGGGAGGGGCCAGGTCAGCAGTGGGGTTGGGGGGGTGCTGGCCCGCCCCCTCCACGCCCACCCAGCTCACCGCAGCACGAAAACATTGCTGATGCAGCCACTGAAGTTCCGGAAGTCGCTGGACCCTGGCAAACCTCCCAGGAGGAGCTGTGGGGGTCCCTCAGGCTGGGGCCCCAGGAGTGGTCCCCGGTGTGGCTTCATCTGTTGAAGCTGGTCATCCACGTAGAGCCAGACCCTGGGGGGAAAGCAGTGTTACCCCACTTGTTCTCCAACCACCCGCTGCACCCAACGCCCCCCCAGCTCTGTCGCCACCCCTAGCCCTGGAGACGCATGGAGAGGCCAGGTGGGGGGGCTCACCCCGAGGCGTTGCTGAAGAAAGCCACGTAATGGGGGGCACCATCGGCAAAGCCTCCTCGCGTTTTCACCTCTGTCCTCATAAGCCGGAGTGTCACATGGCCCTGCTGCAGGGACACCTGGCATGGCCCAGCCTGCGGACAATAGCCAGGTCAGAGGCCAGCCAAGGGCCCAGACTCCCCGCTCCAGCCCCAAGCCCTCCACTAACGCACTGGGGAGGCCCGGTGGTAGAGGAGAGCGCTGTCCTGGGTGCTGCGGAAGCCAAAGCCGGAGTAGACGGTCCCCGTGAGGGGCGCCACGTCGGGCAGCGACAGCGGCAGGAATCCGTGGCCATGGAGTGTGACGGCGCGTCCCACCTGCGGGAGGGCGACCGTAAGAGCCAGCGGCGCTGCCGGGGACAGGGGCGGGGCCGGGGCCGGGGCCGGGGCCGGGGGCGAGCGCGAGGTCACCCACCAGCAGGTCTGCGGTGCAGCCAGAGCTGATGCCCGTCGTGTTCAGCCTCTTGAGGTCCACGTACTTGCCCAGGGCTTTGATGCCCTTGACGCAGCCGCGCACCGAGCCTCCAAAGGGGAAGAGCTGCCGTAGGCTGTGGGGGGCCTGGTGTCAGGGCCGCCGCACCCCCGCGCCACCCCAGCCCGCCGCCCGCTGCACGCCCGGCGTTCCCACCTCGGGGGTAGCTGGGTGGGCGGCACCCCCCCCAGGTAGTAGGCATCGGCCAGCTCCAGCATGTTGTCCTCCTCCACGCTGAATACCGTGGCCCTCTCCACGCGCACCAGCACGCGCTTTCGGTTGCTCTGCAGCAGGAACACCTGGACCTGGAAGGCGCCGGTGCAGGGGCTTCAGGGAGAGCTGTGCTCCCGCGGCCCCCAGCCCCCGGCGGCCCACCCCAGCCCCGGCCTACCGCCTTGCTGGCCGCGGTCAGGGGCGGCGGCGGCTGCATCGGGATGGCCTCCCTCAGGCCTGAGCCAAAGTTGTAGAGGAGCAGGAGACGGCCCTCCTTCAAGGCCAGGCACAGAAACTGACCCTGAGGGGACAGGGAGGTCAGCTCAGCGCGGGGCGGGGATGCTGGGGGGGCGGGGCAGCGGGGCACAGGGGTTAGCGTGGGGCAGGGTAGCACGGGGATGGGACAGGATGGGGACCGGTGGGCGGGGCGGGCAGCCACGCGCCTGGTGCTGCAGGAAGAAGACGATCCCACTGGAGGACACAAGGCGCAGCTCCTGCTCAAAGCGCTTGGTGGTGCCGATCTGACTCTCCATGCCGATGCGGGCGAAGCCGGAGCCATCCAGGTAGGAGCCGTCCGTGAGCCACGGATCCCCAGTGGCCTTGGAGCTGCAGGTCAGAGGGTGTGGGGTCAGCCGACAGGGCTGAGCGGGAAGGAAGGCTCCGGCCCCGGGCCGCACCTACCGGGCGCAGGGCTTGTCCACCGCTGTATCCAGCTGGAAGGTCCTCTCAAAGTTGTAGAGACTGACCACGTCCTCGTTGAGCGCGCCCATCTCAATGCAGCCCCGGTAGCCAGGGAAGCGGAGGGGCTCGGGGGGCTGCGGGCGTAGCGCACATCAGGGCACCTCCCCACCCAGGACAGCCTCCAGGGGCCGAGCTCAGGCTGTGGGGGTGAACAGACACCATGCGGCCCACAGGCCCGCCCAGGCTTACCGTGAAGCTGCTGGGGTAGCCCCCCACATAGAAGACAAAGTCATCGGGCTGCAGGCTGAGCAGCCCCTCAGCCCCAGGGGCCACGGTGTCACCCTTGGTCTCCTGGACTTGTGGCTTCTCCACTGTGACGGACATGTGGCCAAACTGGAGGGTCCTGACAGCAAAGGTGAGGGGGTGAGGAACGGACCCCACCAGGCGGGGGGGGACAGTGCAGGGCCAGGCCTCCCACCTGTCAATGCTGACTGCTGCAAATTGCTCCTTGATGTCTTCATCGATGCTGAGGGCTGCAGGGCCAGCACCCCCCAGGCGGTACACCCAGTGTACCTTCTGCTCACGTAGAGCCACGCCCATGTAGTCACCAGTGGCCTGTGGTGAAAGGAGACCCGGCGGGATAGGGAGCCAGCACCACCCACTGCTCCAACCTGGTGCCAGCCCCTGCCAGCCTACTGAGCCCACCCAGTACCTGGCGGCTGCCCATGTACAGCACAAAGTGGTCCCCAGCAACCTGGCCAGGCACTGGCCCTGGGCTCTGCAGGTAGAATTTGAGGGCGGTGTAGGCAGCGAGGTCTGTGAGGTCCCGAGGGGCACGCAGCTGCACCCCTGATTGCCCGTTGAACTTCATGGGTACCTTGACCTGTGGGGATGTGGGTGCACAGCCCATCAGCATCCACTGCCTGGTCTCCCAGGCGTCCATCTTCCCTGGCACTCATGCTCACCTTGCTGGCAGCTCCTCGGGCCTGGGCAATGAGCTCCCGCACCCGCCCAATGCTGGCAGACAGGGCCAGGCTGGTGTTGTGCGCCCCACGGTTTTCCAGGAGGCTGAGCTTGGCCAGCAGCTGCGGCAGCGTCTTCTCCAGGGTGGACACTGCAGGGAGCAGGAGGAGAGGGCAGCCTGAGCGCCTTACCTCTCCATTCTGGGCCACCCTCTGCTGAGGCACCGGCCCAGGCACCCACCTGAGTGGCCCGCATCCAGCATCATCCGGCCCAGGTCCTGGCTCTGCAGGCCTCCATACTGGCCCTGCCACTGCTGCACGGTCTCCTGCATGGCCTGCACCCGGGCCTGCACGCGGCTGACGGTGTCCTGGGCTTCAGCGGTCACAGCCTTGGCATGTGTGATCTTCTCACGCGTCTCACCTGTGGCAGTCAGTGGGCAGACTCAGCAGGGTGCAGGCGAGGGCCATCCTGGCCTCACCTCCCATCTGGCGGGGGCACCACATCACCCACCCACCCCAGGACCAGCCCCATGAATGCTGCCCATCTGCCTCTCCCGTCAGCTCAGTCCTCTCTCCCGGCATCCCCTGGGGTCACTCTCTTCGGTCCCAGGGTCCTGTCCAAGCCCCTGAGGCCCCCATGTCCAGGCTTGCTTGTCCCGCAGCCACAGAGACCCTGCAAACCTGGGTAGACATGCATCACTTGCTGCCCCAAGGCCCTCTCCCAGCCCTCGGCTCCAGCCACACTGGACTGTGTGCTCACCAACCAGGAATACCCTCCTAGGACCTCCCGCTGACACAGGCCCTGCCCCCACGTCCCTGCCACACTCCACCCTCCTGTTTCTCTCCAAAGCTCTTCCTGTCCCTTCCATTTCCTCAGTTGCTCTGGGGCTACTGTTTGGCAGTATCCACTGTGGAGCCTCTCGGCTGCCCTGGCCGCCCTCTGGACGGTTCGGGTCTGAGCGAGTCCCCGTCAGAGCCCTTCCAGACAGGCTGGAGTGAAGGGTAAGCACCCCTTCCCCTCCGGGACGAGCACCCAAAGCAAGGGCAGGGCCCAGCCTACCTGAGTCCATGGCCAGCATGGCCTGTGCCTCCTGGACTTGGGCTGCCAGCTGCTCCTTCCTGGTCCGGGCATCTTGGAGCTGAGCCCCAGCGCCCTGGAGCGCAGCCCAGGCTGCAGGGGAGGCAGCGTCAGCCCCGGGGAGCCCCCGCCCCAGGGCACAGGGCAGCCCACCTTGGCCCTCCTGGCCAGGGCCAACAGGCACAGGCAGATGGAGACATCCCGACATGAGGGCCCCCGGCGCAGGGGAGGCACTGGGGCACTCAGTCTTGGAGTCTCAGAGCAGCTGCCTGGTCCCACAGCAAATATACTCATTCCCGTGTCAGGAATGAAATAATGAAGGCTCTGAAGGACCCAGCTGCCGCACACAGCTGCCAGCAGCCCAGTCCTGGTGGCAGAGGGTGTGTGCTGTGCACCCCCATAAACCGACAGCCTGGCATGCACACAGCCCTCCAGCCAGGACTGCAGGGAACCCCGTCAGCCAGTCCTGGGTCGTCCTCCCATGGGGCATCCACAGCCCAGGGTCCTGTCACAGGGCCTGAGCGAGCAGTGGCCCTCGGCAGGCCTCCTAGGGTCAAGCTGGTGGGTGGCAGTCGTCCCACAAAGGGCAGCCGTCACCCTGGCTGGCACGCAGCTGGGGAGCCTAGACCCCAGACGGACCCCCAGCACTCACCACGGCCCAGCCTCTGCTGCTCCCCAAGGATGGCGTCCGCCAGGCCGGTGCTGTTGGCCAGCAGCTCCTGGGCTCTCGGCACCAGGCCCTGCTGCACCACCACCTGCAGACACGGGGGCGGGCAGGACATGGTTCATGCCTGCCTGCTGGGAGCTGGCAGCGGGGCCAAGGGCAGGGTCAGGCCTCACCGCCCACGTGTGGCTTGCTTGCTGCAGCGCCTGGCCAGCGGCGCCCTCAGCAGCCTGCACAGCGCGGAGGATGCTGCTGTAGGCGCTGGCGGCCTCGATGGCCCGCTGGATGAAGCGGTCCTGGTTGACTCCGTGGATGATGCTGTGGGGGAGGCAGGGGAGCGTCAGAGTGCACGGGGACCGGGAGCCCACAGTCGCCAGGCCGGCCTGCCTGCCCGTGCCAGCCTCCTGGCTTTGCTCTTGCCCTGCCACCTGCCAGGGGTGCCTTTCCTGCTGTTTTCTGCCAATCTGGGCCCAGACTTCTGCCTGGCCTCTGTGGGGACAATGGCCTCCCACTCCAGGATCCCTCCCAGACCAGCCATGGTCCTCCAGGGACCTGGCTGAGTCCCTAGGGCACTCCACTTCGGCCCACCCGCACCTGGACAGGTTGAGTGCCAGCTGGTCCAGCTGCCACGCGTGGGCCTCTGCCGCCTCCACCAGGTCCACCTTGCTGCTCGCTGGGGAGAAGGCCTGCATCTTCTCGAGCAGCGGCATCCGGGCCCCATCCAGACTGGCAGCGAGGTGCTCGTACTCCTGGGGGCAGGCAGGCTCAGGTGAGCCCCTCAAACTGATCCCTTTCTCACCCCCCACTTGATCGGGACCCCAGGGGCTGCACTCACCTCCCTGGCCCGGTCCATGCCGTGCAGAAACTCAGAGAGCCGGGCCAGGGTGTCCCTGGCAGCCTGCAGAGTGGCCCTTAGAGCAGCGTTATCCCTGGATAGCTCCTGCTTCCGTTGCTAGAGGCGATGGGGAGTGAGGAGTGAGTGACAGCAACCCAGAGGCGTGCCAGGTTGTGGGGCCGCAGGCTGAGGAGGGGAGGGGGCAGGCAGGAAGGGAGAAGGTGGGGAGCAGAAGGGGAAGGGGGGAAGGAGGGGAAGGGGGAGAGGGGGGCTGGGAGGGGCCCCTCACCAGGGCCTCCTCCAGGCGTTCCTGGTTATGGCTATTGAGCTCCTCGGCCTCCCGCGTGGTGCCCACTGCCTGGTTCAGCGCCTCCCGAAGGTCCATGAGGCTGGCCTCATGCTGGGCCAGCTGGGCTCGGATGCCTGAGGCCAGTGCCTGGTTCCCCTCCCAGTGGCTGGTCAGCTGCTCCTGCACGCGGGCCAGCACTGGCCAAGACCCAGCATGGGGGCAGCTGCTTGGACAGTGACTCCCACTCCCACCTGGGGCACAGCCAGCCCCCACCTGCCCTCTGAGGCCGATGGGCCGCCACGTCATGCTCCATGCTGACCCCAGTCTGCCCCACTCCCCATCCTTGCCCTGCTGGACACCACCACTCACGTCTCTGGGCCTCGCCCAGCTCGGCCTCAGCCACCGCCCTTGGGGCCCCCAGGTTGCGGGCTCGCATCTCCCTGAGCAGCCGCTCCACCTCAGCCAGTGTCCGGCGCAGCTGCTCGCCCGAAGGGGCTGAGTCATTGGTGGGTGACAAGCGGCCTGTCTGGGACTCCAGCTCTGGAGGGGGAGGGGAGGGGGCCACCAGGGCTCAGGGCCAGCCTGCCGCCCAGGCGGACTGCTCACTACCTTCCAAGCCTGAGACGACCCCCCAACCCGAGCAGTTCCCAGAGCTCCAGCTCAAGGCCATGGCTGCCCACACCCCTCGCCCCCACAGTCCCGCCCCACATCCCCTCTGCTCAGTCAGCTTCCCTGGCCTCCTCTCCTCCAGGACTAGTGCTCAGCTCAGACCTCACTTCCTCCTGGACCCGGTCGCTGGGCCAGGTGCCCCTCCATCTCTTTGTAGTGACGCATCTCAGTGTGTAATTCAGGCATTCACCAGCAAGTCTTCCCAGGGAGGCAGGGTGCCCACAAGGGGTCACTGGTTCATCTCCCAAGGCGCCCCTGCCCTGGCTCTGGCCACGCTCACCACCCCTCTTACCTCGCCCACTCTGTCAAGGCACCATCTCCCTGTCTGAGCCTCCAGACCTGCCAGTTCTTCAAGGCCAAGCCCCTGGGGCAGCCCAGCTTTCCTAGACCCTGAGCACCCTTCTGCTTGACCCCACATCCCCACCCACTGGACCAGCCCCTACCACTCAGGCCATGGTCCACAGTCCGGATGACCGCCAGCAGCGTCCGTGCCCGGTCCAGCGAGGCCTCGGTGCTGTCCAGCAGCTGGCTGGCCTGTGCTAGGGCCCCTGTGGCCTGTGGACACAGAGCCCTATTGGCACCCAGCCTCCGCCAATGGGGAAAGCTGGGGCCTCAGAAGGGACCACAGGCCTGAGTCAAGGTCAGGGGTGACAGCAGATGGTCTGGGCCCTGGGGGAGCAGCAGCTCAGGGGCCTTGGGCGGGGCTCTGGGGGAGAGGGCCTCAGACCCCGGGGTCCTGCCTGGCGGTCCAGCTGCTGCGCGTCCTGCCCGAGGCTCCTGCTTTGCCCCTCCAGCGCCTCCAGCTGCTGTGCCGTCTTGTGGCGGGGCCCCAGGGGGCTTCGGAGCTGGCTCTGTGGGGAGAAGATGGTGAGGGCCTGCAGCCCAGGGGGTGGAGGCCGGGCGCCCGGGCCATGCAGCACCTGCAGGTCAGCGATGGAGGTGTTCAGCCTGAACAGCCGGGCCCAGGCCGTGGAGCTGGTGTTGATGCTGTGCAGCTGTTCCCTGATGGCGGGGAGGAGGGCGCCAGCCCGCTCCAGGTCGTCCAAGAGCAGGACCACGCAGTGGTCGCACACTGCAAGCCAGGGAGAGGGTCATGGGGTCAGTGCAGTGAGGACGGTCAGCGAGGAACTGTGATGTTGGCACATGGGTACTGAGCTAGGCTGAAGGTGATGAGGTTAGCGGAGGTCAGAGGTCAGCACGGGGTCAGGAGACCAACAGGGAATGGGGCAGGCACCACGAAGTCAGCACACGGTTGGGGTGAGTCCACAGTTGGGCAAGGTCCAGGTGTGGTTGGGGTCAGTGTGGGAATCCAGGACTTGGGGTCAGAGGGCGACTGAGGTGAGCATGGGGTCCTGGGGCCAATGCTAAGAGAGGCGTGGGGCGGGGTTCCTCAGAAAACCAAGGAGAGTTGGGTCCCCAGGGGCTCCACCAGAGTTTGAGGTTAACCTAGGGACCCCAGGTCAGTGTGGGCTGGGACCCCTCTCCCCTGGGTGGAGCTGAGAGGGCATGGGGAGCAGGCGGGGGCGGGCGGGACAGCACCTTGGCAGTGGACGCCGTGGCCCCCAGGGCCGCCCGGCACAGGCACCTGGTGCTGGAGGCTGCAGGAGTCACAGCGCTCCCCGCTGAGCCCGGTGGGGCAAGTACAGTGGCCCGTGTGTGGGTCACAGTGGCCCCCCTGGCACTGGCACCCTGGAGGGGGAGGCGGAGTCAGGACCTGAGAGGGGCCCCAGGGTGCCCCCTGCCCCACAGGGCCCCACACTCACGCCTGCAGCCCTGCTCTGGGAGCCCCCAATGCCCAGGAGCACACTCGCGGCACTGGAGCCCCCCGGCCCCCGGCTGGCAGTGGCACTGCCCACTCTGGGGGTGGCACTCGGAGCCCTGGGCGGCTGGTCCACACGCACACGGACGGCAACCCCCACAGCCCTCGAAGCCGAAGTGTCCTTCCTGTGGGCACAGGCTGCAGTCATGGCTCTGCCCAGCCTTCACCCGGGGCTTCTTCCAGCCCTGAGGCCCCGCCCTAGGCAGCCCTACCTGACAGCGGTCACAGCGCGGGCCCATCACACCCGCCTTGCACAGGCAATGCCCGCTGCGGGGGTCGCAGGCCTCCATCCCGCACGGGGAGCAGTCACACCCTGCAGACAATGGGCTGTGGCAAGAGCCCAGACCCCCAGCCTCTTCCCTCCTGACAGCTCCTCTCTGTGCAGGTGTCATCCTGCCCCAAGCGGAGCCCCCAGCCTCACTTCTCACCACCACCCCTGCTGCGTCCTGGCCTGGACCCACAGCTGCCTGCCCTTGGTCCCACCTTGCCCTCCTCCCTGCAGCCCACGCTCAGAAAGAGGGCTGGTCAGAGCCCCGCAGGGACCCCTCACTCAGTAGCCAGAGTCCCAGAGCAGCCCCTGCCGGGCAGTATGCCCACAGCCCGCCCCAAGGCACCCAGTGCCCCCATCCCCGCCTACGGGTGCAGTTGCCAGGCAGCAGCGCTCTCACGCCTGCAGCCCTGCTCTGGGAGCCCCCAATGCCCAGGAGCACACTCGCGGCACTGGAGCCCCCCGGCCCCCGGCTGGCAGTGGCACTGCCCACTCTGGGGGTGGCACTCGGAGCCCTGGGCGGCTGGTCCACACGCACACGGACGGCAACCCCCACAGCCCTCGAAGCCGAAGTGTCCTTCCTGTGGGCACAGGCTGCAGTCATGGCTCTGCCCAGCCTTCACCCGGGGCTTCTTCCAGCCCTGAGGCCCCGCCCTAGGCAGCCCTACCTGACAGCGGTCACAGCGCGGGCCCATCACACCCGCCTTGCACAGGCAATGCCCGCTGTGGGGGTCGCAGGCCTCCATCCCGCACGGGGAGCAGTCACACCCTGCAGACAATGGGCTGTGGCAAGAGCCCAGACCCCCAGCCTCTTCCCTCCTGACAGCTCCTCTCTGTGCAGGTGTCATCCTGCCCCAAGCGGAGCCCCCAGCCTCACTTCTCACCACCACCCCTGCTGTGTCCTGGCCTGGACCCACAGCTGCCTGCCCTTGGTCCCACCTTGCCCTCCTCCCTGCAGCCCACGCTCAGAAAGAGGGCTGGTCAGAGCCCCGCAGGGACCCCTCACTCAGTAGCCAGAGTCCCAGAGCAGCCCCTGCCGGGCAGTATGCCCACAGCCCGCCCCAAGGCACCCAGTGCCCCCATCCCCGCCTACGGGTGCAGTTGCCAGGCAGCAGCGCATTGCCGTAGAAGCCGGGGGCGCAGGCCTCACAGCGGGGCCCTGTGGTGTGGCGCAGGCACCCGCGGCAGGTGCCCGTCAGGGGGTCGCAGTCACTGAACAGCATGTTGGGGTCCCCGTTGCCGCTGCAGTCGCAGGGCTGGCATGAGCTGCCCAGCACCTGTGGGTTCCCGAAGAAGCCGGGTGCACACCTGGTGGGGGTGGGGGAGTCAGTAGTCTTTGCCCGCCCATGCCCAGCAGCCTAGGGCCCACGCGCATGGCCACTGGGGCCACCTGGCCTGGCTCACCGCTCACAGGAGGCCCCTGCGTAGCCAGGTTTGCAGAGACACTGGGCACGGCCACCCCGCAGGACACAGCCTGTGGCGAAGCTGCAGAGATGGGGTGGTTGGGCTCAGGCTGCGCCAGCACCAGGTGCTGGGGTCCCACAGCATGGGCCCGCCCTGGGCCCCAAGGACGGCAGCACCGACCCAACGGCAGGGGGCGGTGGGGACCGTGCCCTAGACCAGGACCATGAGGCATGGCCCCTGCTCAGGGCTCTGAGGAGCCGGCCCAGCGTACTTGTTGGAAGGCACAGCAAGGGGACAGGGGCAGCTGACGCAGGGGGCTCCAGGGTCCTCGGACCCACTGCGCACAGAGCCGGCCCGACAGCGCTCACAGTGGTCGCCCTCGGTGTTGTGCTGGCAGCCCTGAGGCGGAAAGGGCAAGTCAGCGCCAGCAGGGGCGAGGGGTGGGCCTGCTTCCCACCAGCGGGTCCGAACAGCCCCACCCCATCCTGCCAGAGACCCGGGGACCAAGGCCGGTGGTGCCCCACCCAGCGCAGCTCCCTTCCCCAGGCCTCCAGTCCCAAAGGCCCCTGGATCTCCCTCGTCCAAGCCCGGGGTGCCTGCCCCACCTCTGCTGGGGCCCCACTCACCACACAGACCCCAGAGCCAGGCAGGCAGCGGTCGGAGTGGCTGTGGCACTGACAGGGGATGCAGCGACCCAAGAAGAGACCTTTGACATCCCGGTAATAGCCAGGGGCACATTCCTGGGAGTGAGGGGGGCACTGGGGGTCAGGAGAGGAGGCAGAGTCGGCCCCACGTGGGGACAGACCGGAGGCCACGTTCACCGGTCAGACCCTCGGGGCCTGATCCTGCCCCGGGGCTGGCATGCACAGCCAAAGCCCCATGGACACCTGGGACAGGTGACCACCCGTCCCATGTGGGCCGGGACCTTCTTTCTCCTCCACACACCAAGGGAGTGGGTGTTCAACCTCAAAATGCCTCAGGTTAGCAGGTGGGCCAATGATGCTGGTGAGGGAGCAAGGGGTTGGTGGCGAGGGGACCGTGCCTGGGCAAGCCGGAGGACCAGGGCAGGCCAGGCAGGGAGCAGATAAAGCAGCATGTGCCCAGGGGCTGGGCAAGGACCGTGGTAACAGCGGATTGACAGAGACGCTCAGCAGGCTGGCTCAGCCTGGGGCAGGCAGGTAGGGCTGCTGGGAGGGGAACCCCAGCGGGCAGGAGGGGAGATGAATGGGGGTGAGACAGGGATGGGGGGCCAGGGAAGGACAGATTTGGTTGCAGGGGACAGGCTGACCCTGGAGGTGCCCACCCCACTGCCTCACCTGGCACGAGTCCCCACGGTAACTGGCAGGGCACATGCACAGTTCCACGTTGCTGGCCGGAGGCCCCCCGCCCACCTCACCAGCCACCTCCAGGGCCACCCTGCGCAGGGAGATGGCCGAGGAGATCTGGGGGAAGAGGGCACGGATATGCAGCTGCTCCAGGCCGGCCAGCACCATCATGAGCTCCTCGCGAGACACCGCGCTGTGGGTCTCCGTGTGCCGGAAGTTCTCCTGCGGCGCCATGACAGGTCCTCAGTGGGCTCCATGCAATGGGCACAACGGGCCCAGACCCTCCCACAGGGACCGAAGCGCTGAGACCAGATGGGGCAGGAAAAACCCCAAATCTAGGGGGAAAACCAGCACCTGGCTCCCTACCTCACAGCACGTACAAAACCAACTCGATACAAAGAGAGTTTGAGCTTTTAGAAAAATACACAGGGGCTTCGGGTCACAGGGAGACAGGCAGGTTCCTGAACAAGAACCAGAGTACTAATGCAGATGAGGAGACGGTAGGCTTGAGTGTGAGAGCCCCTGTCACCAAAAGCCATCTTAGAGAGGGCAGACGGGTGGCTACTGCTCCCACGCTGGGCACGGGGCAGATACCAGGAGGGACACACCACTCCTCCGAAAAGGTAAGACCACAAGCTGAGAGAGAAGTGGGCCAAGACAGTCAGGAGGCTCACAGGGGGAGCCACCTGCCCACTGGGGATTCACGAGCCAGGACGCAGCCACGCACGTTACCCAACGGGCAGCCGGAAAAGCAGTGTGGCAACACCAGTGTGGAGAAGATGGTGCTGCCCTGCTCTCAGACCCCTTTCCACCCACTGCCTTTCTGGCCCTCCCTGGCTCGTGCCAGGGTCCAGGACGGACCGCACTCACCTCCACCAGCTGCAGCTGCCCCCGGTGGACGTGGCCAGGTGCTGGGTATGCCGACTCCAGGAACGTGACACTCATCTGGTTGCCCTGGGGAGGCATGTGGGCAGATGAGGGCCAGCGAACAGGCTGCCCGCTGGTCCCGGCTCGGCACAACACCTGGTCACCCTGGGACCACCGAGCCCCCCACCTGCAGCACCACGTCCGGCCTGCTCTCCGTGGGGATGAACACATCTCCCCGCTGGGTCTCCGAGTGCAGCTCATAGCGGAGGGTCCCGCCGTAGGAAGACACCTGGAGGCAGAGACGGGGGGACCTGACCAGACCCGGCCACAGGCCCACTGAAAGCAACGGTCTTGGGTGCTCCAGGCTGGGAGCTGGGCTGGCCGAGGCACCTCAGAGCCCCCACCCCTCCCTGGCCCTCATGGCACCCTGCTGAAGGCCACTGGGCCTGCTCACTCGGTCCCCCAGGTAGGAGGGTGGGGCCTGCCAGTACAGCTCAGGGAAGGCCTCGGGCCCATGACGCAGGTCTGCGCGCAGCAGCTCCTCCTCCACCCGCAGCTCGTGGGGCACCACCTGCCGGTCGCTGCTCAGCAGCACCCAGCCCTCCATGTCCACGAGCTGCAGGGCACATGGCGAAAGCAGGGCACACGAACGTCACACAGCCCTGTCCTGCGCCCCAGACCCCACCGGCTGGGGCTAACGTGTCTCCGTCCTGCCGGCCCCACCACACACCTGCCGGCGGGCGTGGGCTGAGCTCCTGCAGTGCTCCGTGGCTCCAAAGCAGAAGCAGCGGGTGCAGCCTTTGGGGTTGGCAGCATCAAGGGAGAAGGTTCCGAGGCGGCACTGGTCGCACCTCGGGCCCTGCACGTTCTCCTGGGGAAGGAGGGCAGGGCAGCTGGCCATGTGCCACAGCGTCTGACCAGCCCCACTCACCATGACCCCCTTGCCAGTGGCTGACCTGCCCCAAAGCTTCCAGGAAGCCCAACCACCCGGGAAGACAGACTTCAGCTAGGGAGGCCTCACCTTGCAGCGGCACTGGCCTGTGAGGGGGTCACACACGCCAGGCACAGAGCCCGCCTGGTGGCAGTCGCAGGGGTGGCAGCTGGGGTAGCCGTAGAAGCCAGCAGCACAGGTGTCACAGCGGCGCCCAGCCACGTTGGGTCTGCACCTGTGAGGCAATCAGAGCAGGCTGCCCCCTCCACCTGGAGCCCTCATGCTGAAGTGGCCTCCCACTCCGAGAACTGAAGGGGAGAGCACCCCTGAACACAGGGCACACGCACGGGTGGGCATGGGCTCTGGACTCACAGCAGGTGGAAACGCCGCCCCTGAGCCAGGCCGGCCTGAGGCTATGGGGACACCCCACCCCCAGCTCTCACTGGCACTGGCCGCTGTCCATGTCACAGGTGGGGTCCGTGAGCTCCTGGACCCCGGGCCCTGAGCAGTTACACTCCTCACAGCCGACCAGAGGGTGGCAGCCGAAGGTCTGGGGCTGGCAGATGATGCAGTCAGGCAGGATGGTGCGCGGTGGGCAGACACACTGGCCGGTGAGCTCCTCGCACAGGCGTCCGCTGCAGTCACAGGCTGACGGCCACAGCCCCCGTCAGACCACACTGTGGCCTGGGGAACGTGGCTCAGGGGCGAGGCCAGGGGCACCCCACTCCACCCAGCTCTGGGCCCTGAGGCCGAGGCAGGTCCTCTGATGTGGGGCCGGCTGCCAGAACTACTGTCCAGGCCCCATAACCTTCTGGAAAATCTTTGAGCCTGGGCCACAGATGCCCAAGGCCCTGTAGACGAGACGTAAGGGCTGGTCCACCAGGCTCCAGATGACTCTTCTGAGCCGGTGGGCCCTCCTCCACCAGGAAGACCCGTTGGGATGAGGCGCCATCCCCCCCCTGAGGCGCCCACAGACCGAGGTACTCACGCCTGCAGTTCGGGAAGCCCCAGTAGCCAGTAGCGCAGCGAGAGCAGTCACGGCCAATGACATGAGCACGGCAGGGACACTGGCCCCCGAAGGGCTCACACGTGGGGCCCGTGGCACCCATTTCGTGGCAGCCACAAGGCCGAGCCCCGTTGTTATAGAAGAGGGAGAGGGAAGCGGCAGCGTTGCGGCAGAACAGGGACGAGCTGGAAGGGCTGCAGTGAGGGCCAGGTGGTGAGAGTGGCTCCCGGCCCCACCCCGGCCCCGCCCCAGCCCCGCCCCGAGCCCAGCCCACCTGATGTGGTACCCGTGGGTGGCACAGTGGCTGATGAAGTCGTAGGATTTGTCCAGCGGCTCCTCCCGGAGGTAGCTGGAGCTATAGGTGTCCTCAGGGACCACAAGCACGTAATCCTAGGGCATCGGGGCCTGTCACCTCCCCGTGGGCCCAGGAGAGGGCCCGGGTCAGGGAGTGTGTCAGAGCCTCACATCAGGGACACAGCAGCAGGGAATCTCTGCGACTGGCCAGTGTCAGCCGGGCAGCTAAGACTGGGGTGTGGCATCACACAACAGCCCTGGCCCCAGCAAGGCTGGCGGGTGCCGGGTGCCCAGCTGGGCTGCTCAGGAGAGAGGCTGGCTGTGGACGCCCCACAGAGCACAGGGAGTGCAAGGAGGCGGCTCTCAACCTACCTGTCCAGCCTCCAGGCCCCAGACATCCCCTGGGAAGGCTGCCCTCGCTATCAGGGCCCTGGAGGCTGGTGGGCAACACCTTGGCTCTCGGAGCCCCCGGGAACCTCACGTGGTAGGCCAGGAGGTCCCCAGAGGCTGCTGCCCTGGCACCCAGCATGGCACTGGGCTGAGCCAGGCAGGGCCCACCCTGCTGACCAATGGGACGTGACAGGTGTGAAGATGGCTGGTCCCTGAGCAGCTTCAGGACCTCCACACGCAGATACCAGCCTCAGGACTCACCAGCCAGAGCCACCGGCCCTCAGGCACACGCACAGTCACTGTGAGCTCATTGTCGGTCACGTCCAGGACGGCCCGGCCCTCACACACCACCAGTGTGCGGCAGCCATAGCCGTGCGGGCAGAAGCTGGCATTGGCATGGCCTGGAGGGGGCAAAGGGCGGGTCAGCACCCCAACACTGAGCACCCTGGCCCCACGGGCTCATCCTGGGCCAGGGCAGGCCTGGAGTCTCCAGAAGGCAAGGGTCTGGGAGCGGCACCCTGTCAACCAAGGCACGTGCATCTGTGACATACGAGGCGTGGACGCACGCAGAGGCCCAGGCACAGGGACACTGCCGAGAGCAGTGAACCGCGGTCACTTGTGTGACAGGTGAACCCTGGTCTATAAAACCACTTGAGGAGCCGTCCAGAAGGGGCCAGGAGGCCGGGACTGCTGCCTGCGTGGGCCCTGGGTGCCTTGTCTGAGAACGGGTGCTAGAACGGGGATGGGTGGGCCTGTGGCTCATGCCAGAGAACAGGCACCATGGTCCACATGAGCCACATGTGGCCGGTCCTTGTGTGTGATGACCCCGTGAGGGGTCATGTGGGATCTGCCCCCACTGCCCAGCCGGGCCACTCACCCTGCCAGACGCGGCCTCCGCCGATGAGGACCTCCACAGAGAAGGTAGGGTGGGCTGGCTGGTAGCCGTGCAGCAGGAAGGCATAGCGGCCCAGGGTGGGCACGTGAGTGGTGAAGACTACGGTGCCCTGCAGGGAGAGGCTCCAGCGAGCAGGCGGGGAGGTGGGGACCCAAGCCCTCATCCCTCTTGGCCAGGGCCCTCACCTGGGGGTGGCGCAGCAGGGTGGGGTCCGCGTCAGGGTCCACAGCAGTGGGGGCCCGGGGCTGGGGCCCGGATGGGGGTGCGCCCGGCGTGAGGTCCTGCGAGTGGGTCAGCGGGAGGTCGGGGGGCAGCGGTAGCATCCGGCAGTCCCTGAGGACGATGGACTGGGGCGGCTTCGGGAAGCGGGAGGGCAGGCAGGCGGCACTGGGGACAGTGTGGAGGTGAAGGCCTGTGTCCTGGCCGGCGAGCCCAGCCAGCCGCTCTGACCCCTCCTGGCCCCACTACCTGCCGAGGCTGAAGGCGCCATGGCTGCTGATGCAGCGGACCCGGGGCGCCACGAACTCCGAACTGTACGTGTCCGTGGGTAGCAGGGTGATGCTGTGCTGCGAGCAGAGGGCCAGGCAGGGGCGTGAGGCCACCCAAGGCCTGCTCTTTGCACCAAGGCCCTGCCCCTGCTGCCCAAGCCCAGCATCATCTGTAGTTACTCCCCTGCAGGGTGAGCCCCCTGCCCCAGGAATGTTCCAGACGGCAGACACCCAGGCTGCTGGTGCCTGTGAGCAGGCGTTTCTGCCGCGCCATCGACTACGATGTAATGCACGCATGACAAACAGGACACTGGACATCGCAGTTTGTCTAGAAAAACCCTATAGCGCAGACCGCAGGACTGAAGCGACACCATGGTCTGCCACCAACAGGGCTGGCCAAAGACGTAGCGCGGGAGAGCCCTGTGTGATTTGTTACAGAAAGTTCCAGAACAGGCAGATGAAGGGAGCTGTCCCTGTCAGAGGTGGCTGCCCTGGGGGCCTGTGGGGTGCCTGAGTGGGCGGTGCTGCTTCCTGGCCTGAGGGCCCAGCAACGACGCCCGGAAAGGGCACCGCAGGCCTTTCCTGCATGAATTAGCTCCACAAAAGTTTAAGATAAGCTCGGCCATGATCACGTGCCATGGGCCATCGCTGAGCTGGGAAGAGCCATGTCTCTCCTCTCTGGTAACTGAGAAACGCAGGGCGGTGGCACTAGGAGACGTGCCGGGGGCGCCGGGTCTCTTATCAGTAATGGAAGCTTTTAGAAGGGTATGTGCCTGAAGTATTCTGGTAGGTTTTGAAGGGCCCAGGGCGCCGGCACAGGGACAGCACGCTCTGGTGAACACACATACTGCCCGAGTCCTTCACGAGCAACCACACATGTGCTGAGTCCAGCAATCACAAAACAGGCTTGTGACGTGACGCTCCCACTGTGGGGTGGGCACAGAACAAGTGCCACGAGGCTGATGAAGCACAGCCTCAGGACCCCGCCGAACCGGCCCCCCTAACCCCGGGGTGGCTCTGCTCACACGGGGACATGTTCTGCAAATCACACCACACAGCAGCCTTTGGTTAGGACCACCGTTTCTCTCCACTACGACTCCAGGGCAGCACATGCCCCCTCACGTGGCGTGGGCGTCACCTAATACACGTCCTGGACTCAGAGGAGAACACCTGCAGGTGGGGGGTCCCAGCACGCGCAGGTGGTAGCGCTGAGCAGGGGCACCGGGCCTCTCATGCTTCTCTTTACATTTGTGTGTGTTTAAAATCTCCCGAAAGCCCTGAACCCAGGGGCGTCCCAGGCCTGAGCAGGTGAGAGGTCAGGGCCTACCAGGAGGAAGCGTGCCTGCTGGGCCATGAGCCGGACGCTGGCCTCCGTGTCCAGGTGGAAGACCGCCAGGTGGCGCTGGGCATCCAGGGCAGTACCCCGGCACAGGGTGCTGGCGGACAGGGGTGGTCAGCGGGGGCGGGTGGGGGGCCGCCCTGGGGCCCAAGCCCTCCCACCTGCCCCCCAACTCCTCCCTCCCACTCGCCCGCACCTGTACAGGCAGGGGTGGAGGGTAAGCGCCCCCTCCTGGGGGGCCCTCCGGGGGGTGTGCACAGCCACGCCCACCTCCTGGTGGGAGTCCTCATTTGCATACTCCACCACCAGGGTGTAGCGGCCCGGCTGCAGCGCCACTACCTGGAGCTGGACATCCACCTGGGGGGACGGGCTCATAAGACGCCTTGCCCCAGCACCCCCTGCACAGGACCCCACAGGCTCTCTGGACACCCTGGGACACAGCCCTTACTGCCCTCCACTCCCAGCCCCCACCCCTATGCCCCTGCCAGCCCTGGGAGCCTCCGACCTGCCCTGCCCACTGGAGGCCCCACATGCTGCCCCTCAGGGGTAGCTGGAGAGCTGGGGCCGCCAACTTCCCGTGCGTATTTGAGGCTTGAGGGTGTCACCTCCCAAGTCCAAACCCATGGCCTTGCCCAAGCCACTCCTGTCCCGCACCGCCGTCCTGTCCCTGCAGTGTGGGCCCTCCCCCGAGGCCTCGACCCCACCTGCCCTCCACGGGGTTCCAGGAACACCCACATCACTGCCTTGGCAAGTGGCCAGTGGTGGGTGTGAGGGGCTGAGCTGCTCCGTGGGGCAGGGCCGGGGCAGGCTGTTGTCATGGCGACACAGGGCCTCTTGCGCAGAGGCCGAGGGGAAGCCATCCAGGGGCAGATGGGTGTAGAGAAGGCAGCTGGGAGAGGGAGACACGCACTGAGGTCAGCATGGGGCAGGCGGCCTGGGCACAGTGGGAGTCGGGCCCCACCCCCGCTGGGCCGGCCCTCACTTCTCCCCGGAGCGCTGGGCAGCAGGGCGGAGCACGCAGGCCTCGGTCACCGGCATCTGCAGGAGGGCGGCCTCATAGTAGGCGCTGGGCAGCAGAACCGCGTAGTCCTGGTGGAGGGCAGAAGGTGGGTGCTGTGGCTTGCCCAGGCCATGCCCCACCCCGCTCAGCCCCTGCCTCACCAGGAGCACGCCTTCGGCCTCCACGAGCAGGTCCCAGGTGCCGGGGTTCAGCACAAAGGGTTCCCCAAAGCCCCTCTGGGGCACAGTGATGAAGGCAGGCTCCGTGCTGGGTGGGAAGGCCACGGGCTGGCTCTGCTCAGCACCTGGGGGTGGGGACAGTGAGACAGGACACAGCCCACAGGCTACCCCAGGCTGCACTGGCCCAGAACCAGCAGACAGGCCTCCCCGCCCACGCATAGGCCAAGGCAGCCAGGCAGGGTGGGATGGAGGTGTGGGGGTGCAGGGGCACAGGGAGGGGCGTGTGGTGGGCAGCAGCCCTACACTCACAGCCGGCACAGGCCGCAGACTTGCCCTCTTCCCGCACAGAGACCCGCCCGCTCACGCCTGTGGGCCCACGGTTGACATATCGGAAGACAAGCCGGAAGAGGTCAGGGGACATCACGTTCAGCCTCGCCACGATCTGGGGCTGCGGGGCCATGGAAGATCAGGGTCAGTCCTGGTGACACGACCTCAGGGGCCAGCCACACAAGCTGCTCCACGGGGAGCCCTGGGGTGTGCAGGGCTGCCCACCTGGATGGGTGCCATCTGCGCGTAGCCCCTCCAGCTGAAGTTCTCGAACTCGAGGGGGTTGAAGCCAAAGCGCACGGCATGGCCCTCGGGTGTGGCTGCCTCCTCCAGCTCCACGCGCAGATGGTGCAGGTCAGGGAGGTAGTGGTCCCGCGCTGGCCTGGCCACGGAAGGGGTGGTCAGGGGCAGCCCGCCGGGCCCCAGGGGAAGCCCAGTGCACCAGCTCACACAGCCCTGTCAGGGTGAGGCACCCACTCGCTGCAGGTGGGGCCCTGGGTCTTGGGGCGGCACCGGCAGGTGCCCGTCTGCGGCTCACAGCCCTGTCCCAGGGCACCCCCGACGTCGCACCGGCAGCCTGCAGTGGGAGGAGTGAGGTCAGCGCTGCCCGGCCCCCACCCTGCCTCGGGTTCCTCCCCCAGCTGCCTCAGGACCCTGCTCGGCCTCACACAAAGGCCTTGGGCTCTGAGAGCAACGGGCTGGGGAGCCGACCCCTCACCTACCTCTAGGGGCTGCCCGGGGCTCTGGGTGATGGGGTCTGAGTCTAGGCTTGGGGCAGGAGCACTGGGGTTGATTAGTGATGTCTGCCGGGGGCTCAGGATGGAGATGGATGGAGGGCAAAAATTGTGCCTCCTCCCCCACACCCAGCACAGGCCTGGCCAGGCATCTGGAAACAGCCAGTCCAACACTGGGCCTTACATGCCCAGACCCTGTCTGAGGGTCTCCGCTTCCCAGGGCCCAAGGGCTACGTGGGCACTCACTGCGGCAGCCGAAGTAGTCAGCCTGGTCCAGTCCAAAGAAGCCATCCTTACATGCCTCGCAGGTCCGCCCGCACACGTGAGGCTTGCAGAAGCATTGGCCAGTGCCCTGGGGGCCAAGGGAGAAGGTGGGAGCAGGCCAAGGACAGTCCTGACCACCTCCCCCACAGTCACAGCACCGCAGCCCAGACTCACCCGCTGGCACTCAGCAACTCCACCCAGTGTGCCCCCAGGGTCGCAGCTGCAGCCTGAGAAGGGGTAGTGGGCCTGAGAGCAGGGAGGGGCAGGGGGCCTGGTCTCCATCCCCAGTAGGACTCCGTGGGGCTGGCCTCACCTCCCAGCACCCCCAGTAGCCCCTCTGGGCAGACTCACGGGTGCAGCCTTCAGGGTTGCTGGGACTCAGTCCCCAAAATCCAGGTTTACAGCGATCACAGCTTGGCCCCTCCACATGAGCACGGCACATACAAGGGACCTGTGCCTGGGAGAGGATGAGACTGAGGTTCAGAGTAGGTCCCTGCCCTTCTACCCAATCTTCAACCCTGGAGTCCTGCCCCAGCCCCATCCCTGGTGCCCCTGGAGTGGGGACAGAAGACCAGCCTGAGGAACAAATTGGCCCTGAGGGTGCCAGGGCAACTGAGCAGCAGGTAAAATGATGGTCTTGCTGGAAGTGCTGGCCTGGGCTCACCTCAGAAGGGCTGTGACCAGCTGGGGCCAGGCCGGCAGGGTGGCAGGAGCCAGCTGTGAAGAGATGCCCAGGCCAAGGTCATTCCTTGCTCATCGGCTCTGGAGGCCGAGGGTTTCCCAGGCCTGACCAGGACCCATGGCTCTATGGGAGAGAGCACACACCTCCCATATGCGTGAACAGACATGGAAACACGTGTGCCTCCATGCTCTGGGCCCTACAGCCATGGAGTCGGTGCACACCCACCACACAGCCCATGGTTATGCAACAAGCACATACACCACACGACCATGTGTGGACAAGCATGTGATGAGTCACATGAGCAGATGCACAAAGCTCACAAACACACATGGATCACACACAGCATGTGAACACATGCAGGTGACAAGTGTATCCAAGAACTATGCAATATGCACAGAGATGCACAAGAAAAGTGGCTACTGAGCATATGTATGAGCACAGAGCTCACATGACACGTGGACACAGAACACACAGCGTGTGCACAGCACCAGCCTCACCTTCGCAGTAGGGAAAATTGTAGGCACCAGGCACACACGTGTCACACCGCAGCCCTGTCACACGGGGCCGGCAGCTGCACTGCCCGCTGCGGGGGTCGCAGGTCGTGTGCAGAGAGCCATCAGAGGAGCAGTGGCAGGCTGGGGAGAGGTGGGTGTGGGCACGCCGTGGGGACGGGAGGGGGCGGGGCCTGGAGAGGATAAGGGTGGACGCGGGCACCTGGGCGCACGGCAGGACAGGAGGGGGCAGGGCAGGGGTGCAGCGGGGATGCCCCTGCCACCCACAGGAGCACTCACGGGTGCAGTGGGGGAAGCCGTGGAAGCCGGGACTGCATTCCTGGCAGGCGGTGCCCGCGTAGCCAGGTCGGCAGTGGCATGCCCCACCCGTGGCACAGAGCTGGTCCAAGGTGCCCCGGGGATCACAGGCACAGGCTGCAAGGGATGTGGGGTCAGGTCCTGGGTGCCTGCAGGTGGCCCTCCTGCCCCGGCCGGGCTCTGCTCCAGCCCCCACTCACCATGGCAATGGGGGTAGCTGTGGTGGCCAGGACGGCAGTGGTCACAGCGAGGGCCATCAAAGCCAGGCCGGCACAGGCAGTGACCAGCTTCATCACAGCCGTCAGGCAGGGTCCCAGCCGAGCTGCAGCCACACACTGCATAGCAGAGGGGAGCACAGGAGCCCTGAGTTGCACAGGCAGGCCACCCCCGGCCCAGGCCCACCCGTGTACACTGGGTGAAGCTTGCTCACGTTGGCAGAGAGGGAAGTGGAAGTAGCCAGGGGCACAGCGGTCACATGCAGCCCCCTTGAAGCCCACCCGACACGTGCACTGGCCCGACTCATGGTCACAGGCACCATCTGCCACTCCGGGGCTGGAACACTGGCACGCTGTAGGGAGGGGTGGCCATGCTTGGTCAGACGGGGGCCAGGCTCCCAGGGTCAATGCAAGGGTAGGCTGGGGATGGACTTACGCTGGCAGCCTGGGCCATAGAACCCTGGGGCACAGAGCTCGCAGTGGGTGCCCTGGAAGTTGGGTTTGCACACGCAGCGTCCCACCCGTGGGTCCTTCCGGCAGGCATTGCCCTGCGTCCCCGCGGCACTGCAGTCACAATCTACAGAGTGGTAGGCGAGAGGGGATCTCAGATGCCCTGCAGACCACCATGCTTCCCGCTGGAAGGCTCCCCTCCCTACAAACTCAACTGCGCTTACGCTTTCACACTGCATCACCCAAAACCGAAAGACAATAAAAATCCCAGGAAAGGAAAAACGATGTTTTGGGAAAGCCGTGGCAGGTACTGAGATTATGATGACTGTAAATACACACAATATGTCATTTATAACGTAGATGCCAAGTCAACTGCAGGCATTAATGCAACCGGAGAAAATGTAAAACCAGAATCATAACAAGGCACCAAGAAGATTCTAGTCTTTGTAAATAACTCGGGGTCTGGAATAAGGAAAAGAGGACACTAAACATCTTAACTTTATGCGTGAAGAGAAGGCCATACATAGTATTTAATTCATCACTGATGGAAAACATTGACTGGATATTTGTCGAGAGAGTAAGGGTAACCATGGGCCAGCCAGAGGACAGACAAGAGCCCGCAGGCCTGAGCAGGAGACATGAACCAGCCCAAACTAAAAAACCAGCATGTTTTGTTGCTCAGCCCAGCAAGAAAGCAGAAATGCAGAATGACACACGAGGCCAGGAGCCAGACCTTGTCAGGCCACATCCCTTTTCCAAGATAAAACCCAAAGGTGGCTGTCTGCCTCCTGAAGGAAAACCCGGGTGCCTCCTCTTGAACAGATATGTCTCAAAACAAAGATCTTCACAAAGGGGCAGCGGGCACAGAGATGCAAGAGGGCAAGTGGGCAGCGCCAAGGGCAGCCTGCAGAGGCACGCCTGGTCTCCAGGTGTTGATGCCACAGCTGAGGACACTGCCCAAGGAGCATCCGGCAGAACGGCAGCCCAGAGAGAAAGACTGACACGCCGTCCTCACGAGGTGGCAAGAATTAAGCAAAGACAGAGGGAATTTCAATAGCTTAATTAAACCACGCGTTTAATAGGTGTGTACACAGAAACCTGTCCCTGAAGAACACACACTCTCGTTAAACGTGCATGGGATGATCTAAATGGGATCATATTCCACATGAGAGACAAAGAAAACCTCACATTCCAAAGACAAAAAGCAGAAATTATCAGGCTACCAGATCTGACCACAGTGCTGTGAAACTAGGACTGGCCCGTCAAACAAAGGCAGATAGGAAACCTCACCACCCAGAAGGAAGAGTCTTCCAAATAAATCAGGTCGAGGGGAAGGCGGAACCTGTTTAGAGAGGGGCGCCAGCACCAACCCAGCACACAGGAGACACTAAGGCCCCGGGCGGCTGCCTCCAAGGGGTGAGAACATTTCGACGGCCACAGGTGTCACTATGGAGCGACAGCAGTGACTTGGCATGTGACTGCCGTCCACACGACTCCACTCCCGCCAGCAGAATATTTTGAGAGAGTGATTTGGCAACTTCCAGCCAAAACTGTCCCCAAACATGCATGTCTAGTGACACAGAACCTTCTTCCAGGAAACTGTCCTACAGAAATAATTAAGAATTTATGGAAAGTTTTAACTGCCAGGATGTTTATCATAGCAGTATTTTTAAACAAATTGGAAAGAACCTAAATGTCCAACAACTGGGGTTTGGTAAATAGCTCCATCTGTCCTGTAGAGCGGAACACGAATGCCATGTTTACAGTGTCCAGCGGGTGCGCACAGCACGTCAACGTTTGCGAACTGTATACTCAGAAAGGCCCCCGCGGGAGGCAGCGGGGTGCAGGTGGTGGGGGCCCGGATGATGGTTTTCTTTCACTTTAAGCTTACCTGTATTTTGAAGGTTTTCTAGCACAGCAGTGTATTATTTGCAAAACAATGAAAGAACCAGAACCATGGGAACCCAAACGAAAACCTCCTTCCCGATTGGGGCCCTGGGACACTTACTCACAATCTGTCCAGCCGGCAGCACCTGCTCCCCAGTGTCGTTGGGGGTGAGGGGGCGCACCGCTAGAGGAGGAGATGGCATCAGCCAGGTGCACAGCTGCGGCTGCGGGCGGGACCAAGGGGCGCCCACACCCCCGCCCCACAGGCAGCCTGCGCCCTCACGGTAGCAGCTGGGGAAGCCCAGGAAGCCCTCGGCGCACGAGTCACACTGCTCCCCGGAGAAGTTGGGCCTGCAGTAGCAGCGGCCGCTTAGGTCCTCACATGTCCCATCGGTGAAGTCCGACTCGCAGGAGCAGCCTGGGCGGGGCCGGGAGCGTTGAGATCCCGTGCCAGGGCCAGCAGCTCCGGGACACAGTGTGGTATGAGAGCCGTGGCCAGGCCACCCAGAGTGACTTGAGGGCCTCAGGGATGCAGGGAGCCGGGGACACTGGGACACCCCCTCCCCTGGCAGAGCCTGGTCCTGGGGTACCCATCCCCGGGACGCCACACCCAGCGGGTGCACTCACGGCGGCAGGCACGGGGCGAGTCCAGGGGGTGGTCGGGGGTGCGGTAGAAGCCAGGCAGGCAGCGTTCACAGTTAATACCAGTGGTGTGGTGCTGCGGTGGAGCAGGGCCAGAGTCCAGGGCCATTCCCGCCCTGCCCCGCACCCGACCTGTGCACGGGGCCCGCCTACCCCAAGGGCACCGGGTTGGCCAGTGCCCCCCGTGCAGGCCTGGCAGCCACGCTGTCCCACCTGGCAGTCGATGCACACGCCCCCTCCCTGGAACACGTTGTCTTGGTTCTGACTGGCATTGCGTCTGTCCACCTCAGGGTCATAGTAGCAGTCGTGGGCATGGCCGTGGCAGTTGCAGGCTGGAGAAAAGGGGGCCCAGGTGAGCAGGCCCATGAACCCCTCTGGCTGGGACCCCTGGGGGAACGTCCCCCAGGCCAGAGGTGACCCAGATGAGGCCCAGCTTGGGTGGTAGTACATGCCAGCCACATGAGGAAGGGCATGCATGCAGGCATTTGCATGTGACATGTCAGAACATGTGGGTACGGGCATGGGGGCGGCACTCACACTGGCACTCATTGGCACTGTCAATGGTCGCTGGCATCCATGGCTGCTGGTGGAAGCCGGGGCAGCACTGGTCACAGGAGGCCCCACATGTGTTGTGCTGGCAGGCGCACTGAAGCCTGGGGGTACAATGGTGCAGCAGGGGCTCAGTGTGCCCAGACGGACACAGGAGGCAGAGGCCTCCGTGGATGGCAAGCTGAGGCAGGGCATGGAGTGGTCAGTGCAGGTGGTCCCTGCCTGCAGGCCAGCCTGGAGCCCTGGGTCCTTCAGGACCAAGCTATGCCCTCCCCGCCGTGGCCACACTCCAATGGCAAGCCCACGGCCTCTGGGCCACCTCTGAGGCCCAGGTCCCACGCAGCAGGCATGTGTGAGCTCAGCCAGATGCCCATGCACCCAGGGCATCTCCCCCAGGGCAGCGGCCAACTGCTTCCTCTTCCAGTGGGTGGACACCAGTCAGGGGCTGGAATCCCGTCTGCTGTCCTGGAAACGGCTCCTGTTGGCTCAGTGGGCAGGGGGACAGCTGGCCGTAGCTGAGGATGGAGGTGGTGGCCCCAGGACACCCGTGCCAAAGCCCTGCCCCCACACACATCTCCACACCTCAGCCAAGGCTGACTGGGGTCACAGTCCCATCCCTGGGCAGTTTGACCCAAGGTCCTGGCCTGGTCTCGTGGCTGCAGGGCTATACATGTGCTGAATAGGACCCCAGAAGCCAGTCCATGAAGGTGAGATGGAGCCCCAAATCGCGTGCCCTTGGTTCCCCCCCACCCCAGGGTCCACAGGAACTTGGGAGTCAGCACTGCTGCCCTCAGAGTCCGGGGACATCCAGAAGGCCTTTGTGGAAGAGCAGGTAGGGAAAACCTGCCCTAGATGGATGACCCCAGCAAGCCCGCTGCCTCCACCCCAGCCCGAGCTCTGTAACCAAGGGCCTGCGGCTGGTGTTTGACCTACTGACAATCTCCACGGTCAGGGCACCCCTAAGCCAAGAAACTAACACAAAAAGTAGTGCTGCGCAAAAGCCCTCACTAAACCACTGCAGGGATTCTTTCTGATCCGGGGGACTGGGCACTGTCCCGGGGAAGCCTGGCCGAAGAACTTGCAGGGAAACACGACAGACACAGCTTGGCCCTAATAACCTCTCTGGTGGAGCAGTCGGGCAGAGGCTGCCAAGGGCTTGGCCAGGGGAACCTAGAGCAGAGCAGGTGGTGACGGGCACACGGGTCAGATGCAGCTGGAGAGACACGAGCTGAAAGACTACCCAGAAGGCGGAGGTAGGCATGTGGGAAGTTCTGAGACAGAAGGAGATTGTCAGAAGCTCCCGGCTGGGCGACGGGCTCCAGAAGGAGTAGGTGCAGGGGCGAGCTAACGGCCTTGGCAGCCGGGAACGCGTGAGGACCACATTCTCAGATTCAAAGACATGAGTCCTGAGCAACGGAAGGTAGGTCCACTCCTCCTGCCAGGGTCAGTCCCAGACTCCCAAGGGACCAGAGACATCCTGAAGAGGCAGACAGCCCACCAGGGCCGACCACTCAGGTGCTGCCGACTCCCAGCCACAGAGAGGCCAAGAGACGGCGAGATGACAGCTCTGAGGGGCTGAGACGTGGCCATCAACCAGGACGCCACTGCCAGCTAACCCATCGCCCAAGGGTGAGCGCCCAGCAGCCACCGCAGACCACGGCTTGCAGGCTCTCCCAGCCACAGGAGGTCCAGGGACGCGACCAGAGCTGGGGAAGGAGAACAGGCCAGCGGGCGGCTCCGCCACACACAGACGCCACGTGTGCGTGCAGCCTCTCGGGCCCTGGGCTATCAGAGCAGCCGGCTGCCCCCAGGCTTGGCAGAGCCAGGTAGGCTGGGCAGAGCAAGCGCTACCTTAGGACAGAGCACAACAGACAAGCAGCTGCTGGACCAAATGCGGCCCCAAAACCCACGTGCAGCCCCAGCCCCATGGCAACGGCACGCGGAGTGACGGCCACGGGCGAGCCCCCACGAATGGGATTGGTGTCCTCATAAAAGGACCCCAGCAAGCTCCCTGCCCCTCCGCAAGTTCGGACCCGGGGAAGGCACAGCCTATGACCCAGGGGAGGGGCAGTGGCACCAGCCTCCAGACTGTGAGAGCATGCTTGTCACCCACGAGCCCCTCGGCCTGTGTCCTGTCACAGCACCCACAGAAACAACCCCATAATGCCCAAATCAAGGGAAAGGGGACACAGGAGTGAGGGGTTCAGCACGCAGCCAGGAGGGCAGGTGATGGGGTGGGGCTGCAGCTGGTCAGGTGGAGGTGGGGGAGGTCAGGGTGCAGGGGCACAGCCCAGCTAGCTGGAGGGGCAGGGCCTCTGGAGAAGCCGTGCGTGCAGGGAGTACACACAGCTGTCACTGGGAGACGCTGGGGTGTCCGGGGTGAGGGGAAGGGCCAGCCCTAGCCGTCCTTTGTGCCCGACACCGAGGGGCCCTGCTGGTGCCTTCCCACTAGCAAGGACAGGCCGCCTCTCCTCGGGGCCAATCTGGCGTCCCCGTGGGCCCCCTCCCAGCCAGCACAGGACCCCTCTGCAATTAATCCCCCCAAGTCATGAGCCATGTGTGGAAGCCCACTGCCAGGTGACAGTACGCCCCCTCCAGACCCATCAGATTTGGGGTTCGCCCTGCAGTGTGGCTTTGACAGTGAGAATGGGGGTGAGCTCCTGGGCTCTCTGGGCTTCAATTGCCTCTCCTGTAAGTTGGGGCACAGGCAGAGCAATGGAACCCCAGCACATGGTGGGGGTGGCCCAGAATCCAGAAGCACAAACAGAGCCGGTGTGACTTTGAGGCCAGGGAAATAGCAGGGGACCTCACGAGCTCCCTGCTGGGGAGCCTGGCAGCGGGTGGGGGTCAAAGCTCAACACAGGCTCCCCATCACTGGCTCTGCCAGGCCTCCCATGGCTCCTCAGTCCAGCCCATGCCTTGTGGCCCCACTGCACTCAGCCTGTAGGGACCACTTGGTGGCACAGGTCTGCACGTGCCCCGTCTCCCCGGAACAGGTGCCCCCGGAACAGGGGCAGAGCCTGGCGGGTGTGAGCACCACACGGCTGCTGAGAGAGGGAGGCGTGGGACAGCTGGCGTCCAGGCCGCACCAGGCAGAACAGCCATGGCCCAGTGCCAGGCTCCAGCTGACGGCTCAGGTGAGCACGTGCTGCTGCACTTAGGGAGCTCGGAGCCCCCTGGGCACACATCCACCAGCAGGCGGTCACAGATGCAGGTTCCTGGGCTCCCCGCTGGCAGGACCGGGGAGGGAGCCAGGAGTCTGTGCCAAACTGGGCGGGGCTCTCAGGGGGTGGACGCTGCAATGTGGCCCTTGCGTCCTGAGGGAAGGTGGGGGAGCTGGAGGACAGGGACGTGCCAGCTGGGGGCCAATTACCTGTCTCACCAGCTCCAGTCCGCAGGCCCTGGGCTTCCTCTGGGCAGGGGTCCGACGAGAACCCCATCTCTGCCAGCAAACAGCCCGACCCAGGCGCAGGGTACCCCAGGGAGGCTGCTCGTGGTGCTGCCCCTCCACCCGCCCTACACATGGGGGAACTGAGGCCACGGGGGAGCGGTGGCCAGTGCAGGCATGGGAGGCCATGGAGCTGGGCTCCTCCCTACTGGACTGGGCAGGGGCAGGCCTCACCTGAAGGGGTCTGTGGGGTCTTTGGCGTCACAGACATCTGCGTGGCCATGGCAGACACAGCGGCCGCCGATGCTGATGTCTTTGATGCTGTAATAGTACTGTCCCCGCGGGCGATGAGCAGCCGGCTCCACGCCCCAACCCTGTGCGCCCCACCCCGACCCCTACCCCGCGACAGCCCCGCCTGGTGCTCACCCGGCGGGTGACCGTGGGGTCCCGCAGAGCCTTGCCCATGAGGTGGCCCAGCAGCGTATTGGTGCGCAGGAAGCGCAGGCGGATGTTGGTGGCCTTCGTGAAGTCACGCAACAGGGGTGAGTAGGAGAAGTTCATGGCCCCGGGGCGCCCATTCACCAGAGACACCACGATCTGTGGATGGGGTGGAAGGTCAGGCTGGACCCGGCTGCCTCCATCGGACCACGGACTGCCGCTGTGCATCCGCTGGGGGCTCACCTCGCCATTCTCCAGGGGCACTATCCGAGAGTACTCTGTGGCGCAGATGACATCGCCGTCCTGTGTGATGCGCTCCAGCGTCTGGGGTCCGAATCGCTCGAGGCAGTCCCTCTTGGATGCTGTGGGACACCGGCGGGACAGTGAGGGCGCAGGGCCTGGGAGAGGCGTCGGCCCCCATGGCAGAGCCCTGCACACCTCAGCCCTGACCTGGGAACAGTGCCTACCTCCACAGGTTGCCCTGCCAAGCATGCGGGGTTTCGTTTTAGAAAGAACGAGTGGCACGCCGGCCACCAGCCTGAGCTGGCCCCTGCCCAGGCCACCAGTGCATTGACTCTGAACTTGCTCACACATATGAACTGGCCCCTCCGGGCCTTTGCTGTGTCTGTCCATTTGTCCCTGTCTCTGCAGAATGCACGTCCCCCTAGATGACCTCCTCAACCCCATCCTTGGGGGACCATTCCCAACTGCCCCTTACAGGACTGCCCAGCCACCAGTCCTGGGCTGTGAAGTTTGGGGTAGGACACCGGAGCCAGACTCCCCAGTTGGAGCAGCCATCAATGCGCTGGGCAGGCTGGCCTGGGACACGGCCAGCCAGTGAGCGTGGGGGCAGTGCTCTGTGCCTCCTGACCAGCCAACTAAGCTGGCTGCCTTTGCCCCCTCAGGAGTTGCCAGACTGTGAAGCCAGAGGCTGCCAAGAAACGGCAGGAGAGAGCCCCCACACCTGCCTTCACAAACGTGTCCCCCACAGTGCCGACGCAGGCAGAGGCTGGGGGGAGGGCAGGCCTGGTGTCCAGACACCTGGAGAGTGCAAGGCCCCTCCCAGGGGACACCCAGGCCAGCCCCTGGCTCCAGGAGACTCACAGGCGAAGAACTGCCATGGCTGGTAGGTGTGGCCGAAGTCTGTGGACCGCTCCAGTACCCAGAGGTCCGGCCTCGGGGAGTTGGCGAACTTGATGAGTACATAGGCCACGTGGAAAACCTGGGAGGGCGGTGAGGGCATCAGCCTGGGGCTCCTTCCACGCTGCTTGGCCTCAAGGGCCACCCCCACCCTGTGAGGTAGGGCTCCCTTTCCCACAGAGGACATCTGTGGGTGCACCTGCAAGGGTGGGTAGGAGGGCCAGCTGGCTCAGGGAGCAGCTCATGGCCACGGAGACCCATGTCAGTGACCGATGAATAAAGGAACCCAGTATTTCTGAAGGGCTCCCCTCCTGGTCCTGGGGGTGCCTTGGCCCAGGGCCCAGACCCATCGGCCTCCCCCATCCCTGCCCCAGGAGGTCAGAGAGTCACACCGGTCCTTTGGGCTCTGAGGTGGCAGACAGTCCGGTGGTGGCGGGGGTCCCTGTGTTAGCGCCCAGAGTCCATGGCCCCGGGCCACGGCCCGGCTCCAAGAACAGCCTGGGGGCTCACACAGAAGCACCTGCCAGCCTGTGGCCTCAATGACAAGGCTGGGCCACCACGACCCCAGAGGACCAGCACCTGAACCGGCTTCACCCTCATGCCCCTGGGCGTGGCTCCCCGGTGCCCACCCTGACCTTGGCCTCCCCTACATGCTGACCACAGGGCAGGAACTATGGTTTCCACACCCTGAAGACCACTGAGAGCCTCCCCTGCCCTCCCACCTGCCCCAAAGCCAAGGGAACACAGCGGGATGGGGCCACTGTCCAGGCCGGGCACCGTGCAGGTGTGTTTGGGCTCACAGCAGCAGGCAGGGGGACATGGAACCCCCGACCTGCAGGGGTGGGCCAGGCACCCGGAAGGGGTGTGAGGCCCTCGACAAAGGGCATAGTGGGTCTGGGGAACGTGCCTGCCTGGCCTTGGGGAACAGCCCCTTTTGCTGTTGGCTGGATTTTCTGCCCCAGACTGGCTGGGCTTCTACTGGCCACCCGGGCCCAGAGCGTAGGGGCCACAGGGAGCAGGGCCGGGGGTCCCCTCTAGGGCTGCCCAAGGCCCACAGCTGCCCCCACCGCCTCGTGAGCCTGGGGCTGCTGCAGAAACCCTGTGGAGGGATGGTGGGGGGCCCATGGGCCCCTTATGCCCAGTCCTCAAAAGGCACAGGCTGCTCAGAATCCAGGCAGAGGGGAAGGTCCCAGAGCCCCGGGACATGCCTGTTCGGAGTCCCTTCCTAGGAGGCCTGGCATTGGTCAGCCAAGAGCGGCCTTTCCCCAGGGTGGGGGGGCACAGGCCTGCTCACCCACTGCCAGGCTCTGAAGTCATCTTTGGCTCCGCCCCACCCAGTCAGGGGGGCTTGAGCCCCTGTGGGGACAGACCTACAACCAGCCTGGCACCCTGGCCACCCGCCAGGCGTTCCAGGGGCACCAGGAGTCCTCGGATGGCCCCCGTGCCCGGAGGGGTCTTCATGAGGAAGAGGAAGGGAGGCCTGGGTGTGCACAAGATCCGCGGTAGCTACGCTGGGGGGCCAGCAGCACTGCCCCCACCAACGGCCCCGAGGAGATTAAAGGCTCCCTCCCTCCAAGCCCCTGGGACCCACCCCCGCCTTTCCCTGAGCGAGACTACCAGGCTGCCCCTCGCTGGCCGGCTCTGCCCCTCGCTGGCCGGCTCTGCCCCTCCCCAAGGTGGGCGGCCTGCTGCATTTTTCCCAGCTGATAGCACTTGCACAAACATTCACTGGACGGCACTGAGCAGCTGGGACAGGGACAGCATGGAGACTTCGGCCCCCACGCCTGGCACGCTGGGATGCACTTAAGACCCCTGCTTTCTGTCCGTCTGCCCACTGGCCATCTGTCTGTCACACAGAGGCCCTGGCCCAGGCTGGAGGGGAGACAGGCACACACCCAGCTCTCCCTAGCTGCCTCTGAGCTGGCCCTGGCTCCCTGGGCCTGCCCCGAGACAGGGTGCAGACCCCTGGCCTCCCTGGACCCAGCCCTCCCCCTGCCCGCTGAGCTCTGCTCGCTGCCAACTCAGGCTGACCTTTCCCGCTGCTAGAGTTCTGTACAGAAGGAAAAAAATGTCTTTTAAAGCAAAAGCCAAACAAAAGCCTCCAGAGTTATTTTTAAAAATCTGGCTATTTTAGGGCAGGCACATCTCCAGGACAGCAGCCGGACCCACCCCTTGGCCACGGCACCCCTGGGCCCCCACACCCAGCCTGACCACAGAGGGCCCGGGCTCCCTGGAGGGAATCTGCCCTGGTGACCCCTGCTTGATGGGGGTCCTAAGAGCCCAGAGGGCCCAGGGCCTGGGCAGGAGGCCCAGGGTGGGCCCCGGGCCACAGTGGCTGCATGGCCCTGAATGGTCACTTCCTTGGACATGGGGCAGTGGGAAGGCAAATGCAGCAAAGGTGTGGGGCAGGGCACAGTGACTTTCAGGACGGCGTGACGGCTCCGAGAGCCTCCACTAGGAAGACGCCACCATCCCTTGAGGTGCACGAGCAGAAGTCGGTGCCACCTGGCAGGTTGCGGCAGAGGGCACCTAATGCCATGCCCTCTGCTGTCCGTGCTGCCCCAGACAGGCCATGGCGGGGTGGAGGCACAGGGGCCAGAGCTGGGGTCCAGCTAGAGAGAAATTCGGTGCCACAGACCCCACCAGGGTCTCTGAAGCCCCTGGGAAAGGTGGGGGGCAGAGGGTTGGCAGCCTTCTGGAGTCAGGTACCCAGGTCACCAAGGACAGGGACAGGGCTGGAACCTGCAGGAGCCCAGGGTGGTAGGGCCAGCATGCCCTACCTCTGCCCTGGCCCACCTTGGGGCCGGGGAGAACCTGGTGGGGCCCTTGCGCCCCGTCCTCAGGGAGTACAGGGCCCTGCCCCCACACACCGGAGCTAGGCAGCATGAATCACCGGGCAGGCTGTGACTCAGCCCCGGCCCCACAGGAAGCAGGGCCCTGCTTAGATTCATGTAGATGGACCAGGGTCCCAGGCCATGGCAGGGTGGAGGCAGGAAGCCCTTCCTAGCCCAGGCGTTCGGGTGGGCTCCCTGGCTATTCTCTGCGGAGTGAGCATGGTGCACATGGACCTCCCGGACACCCTGGCTGATGGCTAGGCCGGCCTTCAGGGCCCCAAGTGCTGGATCCCCCAGCCCAGGCCCCCAAGTCTGCCCTCTCTGGAATGTGCAGGCCTCTCAGCAGAGACCCCATCCAGAAGTCCCGATAAGGAGATAAACGCCGCCACAGAGGCCATCTGGGCCAGGGTGGGGCAGGGCAGGTGTGTCTACCCAGGCCCCCAACTGGGTAAATAAGCATAGCTTTTCACACACTGGGATCATGGAGCCTGCAGTCCTGTGGACCCAAATTCAGAGGAGATAGGAGTAGAACATTAGACAGTGGAAATGCGGAGGATGGAGCCAGGGAAGGGGGATTACTTGACTCACAGGGGGATTCAGAGCGGGGCAGGGCCCTCAGGGAGGGGAGGGGAAGGCCTCACCGGCTAAGGGGGGCAAATGCCCCAAGCGGCCCACCCCTCAACAGACTCCCCACCCACCCAAGGGTTGTTTCAGGCCCCCAGCCCTGAGATCCCTGACTCTGTTCCCTCCTCTGGGTGGCCCTGCCCAGGTCCAGCTAAATGGTCAGCCCCAGGCCACAGGAAGTAGAGTTTATCCCAAGGGGATCCTGAAACCCAAACAATTTAGTCTCCGGTGGTGAATAGTATTGCTAGAGGCCAGTGCTGCCGGATTTGCTTCAAAACAGAGGGAAAACGGGAGCCCCTGGAGGCTACCAGGGCCTGGGCTTCCAGCGTGAGGTGGTGGGTCTGTGTGTGTCCAGAGTGAGCAGACATGAGGCTGCCCAAGGCTGTGTAGGGTGGGGGCGTGTGGCCCTCTGCCCTGGCACGGGCAGCCCTCTGGCCCTGTCCTCCGGGAAAAGGGAGAGCAGACACAGTCTCAGGGCTCCCGAGGCGATGGGCCTGAGCTGGGGAGGGTGCCTGACCCAGCCACTAGGCCTGCCTTGCTGTCCTCCCCCAGAGAGCCCAGTTCCGCACCTGTCTGGGCCACTGGGTTGTGCAACCAGAGCCTGGCTGGCACTTCCGCTTCCCTCCAGCAACCCCACTGACCCTCCCGGGGCACATGGCTGAGCACCCAGCTGAGCCCGGACAGCCAGGCCAGCAGCTGCAGCCTTGTAACCCGGCAGCCAGCAGGCACGCCAGGACGTGGAAGCCTGCCCTGGGAGTTCCAAGCTGGCCGCCTCTGAGGGTGAGCCGCCTGGAGGTGGGTGGGCAGGCAGGCTACACAGGGTCCTACAGCCAAAGCAGCCAGTGGGTCCTTAGGCCCATGCCCACCAGAGTTAGTCCCAACCCCCTTTGCCCTGCTCCTTAAGACCACTGGGCCTAGCGGAACAGGACCTGGGACCCCACAGCAAGGCCCCTGCTGGGGTCAGGACACTCATGTCAGGTCCCATCCTGCCATGCAGCCGGAGCCCAGGCCATCAGAAGTGGTATCCCCCCAACTGGGGTGCAGGGAAGGGGGGGCCTCAAGCCACCGGAGGCCCTGGAGGAGACAGCAGGGAAATAAGAGCCTCCAGCCCCTGGCATGGGGTGCGCCAGCAGGCCGCTGCCGGGCCACAGGCAGCTGCTCCTCAGTCCCAGCCACGGAGCCCTCCTGTGCCCCGCTCTGCAGGAGGACCCTCTCCGAGGCTCACGCCATGGGCCCCGGCCCCGCAGCTCAGGGGGTTCCTGGCTGAGGGCCACCCAGCAAACCATCCATCCCGTTCCCAACCAGGACCTTGCGCCTGGAGCCTGTTTCTCCATCTGCAAAATGGGCAGGAAGAGGGTCTAATGGCCCCCCACCTTCCCCTGCGATGAGAAAGGTTAGAACAGGACATGTGACCGCAGGAAAGAAGGGGTAGGTTCATCGAAGCCGTGCTGCCCCCAGACAGATACCCCAGGGACCAGACCCCTCCAGTCCCAGGCCCGCCACCAAGCGTGAGCTAGGAGCTGAGTTACAGCCCACCAGCTCCTTTCCAGGCCATTCCAGGGCAAGAAGGCCTCCTGATGCCCAGTGCCAGCTGCCCCACCCCCATCCCCAGGGCATCCACTCCTAATCCTAGAACAAAGGGCACTGGCAGCCTGCCACTGGGGGAGTACCCAGACCCACTGCCCACTTGGCCTGGCTTCCTGGCGAAGCACTAGCCCCACCCAGCTTTGAAGGACTGCCTGGCCCCAAAGCAGGAGGATCTGCCCGCGTAGCCAGGTCCCTCGTGCTAGGCCCGTCACCCCATCTGCTCTAGCAAATACACTTGGGGGGGCCTGCCCCAGGGTCTCTCCAGTCTGTGGGCACTAGCTGCTCCCATCACCAGAATGGGGGGAGGCTTGGGAGCACAGGCCCCAGGGTCACGCTGAGGGCCAATCGGACGCTCCAGGCCCTCTCTTCCAAAAGCCTCCCTCTACCTCCATCCCATGCCACCTGCACCCGTCTTTATTCTCTTCCTGCCCAAACGGGAGTTCCTCTGCCCCCAGGTGGGGCACCAATGGCAGGACCTCTAGACGCAGGGCTCCCATCCAATCAGAAGGGACCTGGGCACTGCTCAGTGGCTCAGAGAAAGGGCAGCGGGCTCCTTTTCTGAAAGGGATGGAGGAACATGCAGGAATTCCTCTGGAGTTCCATCCTGGCTGGGAAACATCCCCAGGAAAGAGATTTCTCTCACCCGCGGAGTTGGAAACTGGGTCCATCCACCCGACCCAACTCCAGAGCACTTTGGTGGGCAGTCCCTATGTACCCTGCCCCAAACCCGGTCAAGGCTGGTGGCCCCCCTAGCTCGGACGAGGCAGGGGCTTTGGTGGGTCGTCTGCAGTCAGTAAGGGGAGCGGGGAGGAAAGAGTAGACGGAAAAAGGGAGGGAGGGAGGGATGGGTGGGTGGAAAAAAGGAAGGAAGGGTGGAGGGAGAGAGGGGAGTGTGACAGGTGAACGGCAAGTCAGTCCGACCGAGACAGTGCTAGAAAAGGTCCCCTTCCTCTTCGTAGTATTTTAGTGGGGGAACCCGGGCTTGGAGAGGCAGGGTGCTCAGCCAGTGAGGCCTGCTCCCTGGCCTGGGACCAGCCTACACAGCAAACAGGCCACCTGCCTGGACATTCCGCCCATTTCAGATGAGGAGACGGGGCTCAGGCCTCAGGGCTAGAAGGGGCAGGGCTTCAGGGGCCTCGTAGGGCACGGGGCTGCCCCGCAGTCAGCCACCCTGGGGTTGCCATGGAGACGGGGCCCTCCTGTGCCTGCCCCAGCCTGGCCAGGCCTGCCGCACTGCACGAGGGGCAGGAGGGACAAGAACCCACCAGATCGGCACAGGTTCCCTCTGACTGGCCTTGGGTAGGGAAGGGCACCCCCACAGCAGTGCCAGGGAGGAGGGGACCCCAGGGTCCCACAGGGCTTCAGGGCCCCTCCAGGCTTCTAGCGGGGTGGGCAGAGACATGGAGAAACCCAGTGAGCCGAAGCCCCCACGCAGACCAGGCCCCCCAGCTCCAGGTGACCTTTGCTGAGGCCCCTCCAGCCCTGGGGAGCCCCACGCAGGGAGCCCACTACGGGCAGCCCCCTCCTCCAGCCCAGCCTCTTGCCCCCACCACTTTGGCCGTTTCTCTCTGGGGCACAGCAGCTAATCCACAGCCCCGGGAATTCCAGGCCACCTGCTGGGACGGGCACCCGCTGCCCACATGCCCAGTGGGCCAGGCCCATAGGCCTCCTGGCCAGGAGCAAAAGGTACCTTACCCTCCTAGCCACTTCACCCCTCCTAAACTGACAGGATTACAGCAAGGTAGTCTCAAAAGGGGCAGAGACCCCCAGGACCCTCCCAGACAGTGGCGAGGCTGGCCGAGACTCAGGTGCCTGACCTGTAGCCCACGGACAGGATGCAGCTCAGGCAGGAGTGACCCTGTAGCCCCAAACCCCAGGCCGGTTTCTTCCAGGCTCGGCCTCATCTCTCTGCCCTCCCCCACCTCGTCCCAGGAGGCACGGGGATTGCTGGCCCATTTCACAAGCCAGGACACCAGGGCCAGGCAGCTCACAAAGCCACACAGGAGGTGGGACACAGCCCAGGCCCACCACTGGGAAATGCCTGCCCTCCTGCCTGCAGTGTCCTCTCTGCAGCACAGGTATCCTAGGAATGTCCACTTCCGGTGTCTCTGCATTCCTGGGGCCCCTCCCACACCGCCAGGGCCTGGCTCCCTGCACAGGAATTCCTCAGAGTAAACACCAGGCCTGGCCTGGCACTGGGCAGCCCACCCCCCAGCTCTGGTGACCTCCAGTGAGCCCCCACCCAGCCCCCTCTTCCCACAGCCACAGGGATGTTGAAAGAGCAGGTGCTGGGCCTGCCCCTGGCAGTCCTGTCTGAGCCCAGCCCCCCGAGACCTCACTCTGGGCGGAGACCTCCCCTTCGGTCCATGCGCCAAGGTGAGCCCTATAGCCAGAGGCACAGGGGTGAGGGCTGTGGCAGGCGAAAGAGGGACTCTACCTGGCCCAGGTCCAGGGTGACGTTGACCTCATTGTACTCCAGGCCGCGGGACAGCGGCGGGCTCTGCCACCAGCGCTCCGTGCCGTCAATGGCGTTGCTCACAGGATGTGCCCTGTTGCTGTTTGCAGCCGTGCAGATGTCGCAGTACTGGCCCTGCAGGGGGTGTGGTTGGTGGGTGAGAAGGGCTGGGACCGCTTGCCCCCTTCCGTCACCCTCCGACCCCATCACACTGGTCTCACCCCGAAGCTCTTACCCACCATTCATGCATTCTCTTGGCAAACGCGTACTGAGTGCCTATGGCCCGTGTGAGCAATGGTCACACCCACTACAGAGGAAACAGGAGAGCAGGGAGAGGGGCACCCTATTTGGGTGGGGGAAATCAAGGCAGGCCTCTCTGAGGAAGTAGTATCTATAGCCTACACGGTAAGGGGGTAGTGCTCCAGGCAGTCTGGCTTTTTGTGCAAAGACCCTGTGGCAGAAAGAGCCACGGGCTGGAGAGCAAGAAAGCCAGTGTGGTTGGAGTTGAAAAGGAAAATGGGCTGGTCCAGAGGCAAGTCACACACCCCGTACAGACACACAAGTGGGGGTCATCTGGAGGTGAGCGGTCCAGGTAGCCAGAATGGTCATGAGAACCAGGCCCCCTCTCCTCTTCCACTGGCCCGTCCCTCACAAACCCCCTGCCAGGCTCCCACCCAGGGCTGTCTGGATTAGGGTTCCAGAGAATAAAGCCAAGCCAGAACAGCAGCCTGTCGGAACAGGCCCCAGAGTGACGGCATGTGGGCAGCGGGCAGGCGATGCCTGGACCTCCTGGCTCTGCCACTTCCGAGCCCTGTGGCCGGGGCCAAGGCATGGCAGCCACTGAGCCTTAGTGTCCCCATCCGAAGAGTGGGGCAATGCTGGCACCTGCCTCAGCCACCACAGGACCAACGGCTCCCACACGGAGCCTGACAGCTGCTTCTGTCACAGTCCAGCCACCAGCTGGGGCCTGTCCTCTGGGAGGACAGAGGAGGTCCCCAGCAGTTTCCTGGCCCACTGTCCCTGTTGAGGACCAGCAGGTGCTGAGAGTCTGGGGTGTACACAGGGGCAGAGCTGGGCCCCACTGCTCCCAGCCTCCTGGTGGGCGGGCTCTGTGCTAGGATTTGGAGGTAGGAGCGTGGGAGAACCCAGGCCTGGCAGCTCCGAAGCCCTCAGTAGATGACGTGCCCCTGCCTCCCCTGGGTATGTCTGCCCCCGGCCCCCACCGTGCATCCTGGCACCCAGCCTCCCATCCCACGGGCTCCCAGGAGCCCTGTGTGGGGTGCTCTGGGTTGCCCCATCTCAGAGTTTGTTCTGCCTGGAGCCTGTGCACCCAGATCTCACGTCCTCTGTTCTGGCTCAGACATCACACCCTCAGCAGGGCTCTAGGGCTTAGACCACCCAGGGGGCGAACCTGATAAGGTGCCCAGGCATCACCTGCTTTATATATTCTGCCAAGCGAGCCCTGAAATTCTCTGGCTATTAGCTTCCCCCCTCCGCCCCCAGGGCTATAGCTAGGCGGTGTGGGGGCCACATCTGCTTTGTTCTCAGCTACGTCTGGAGCTGCCATACTGATGGGCGGGAGCGACAGAGGACACCCAGGAAGCGGCATGACCTGCATGGGCTGTACCCCCAAGCTTAGATGGTGACATCCAAACTGAAACCCTGGGCTCTGGCCCCCTGGTCTGCAGGACCTCACAGGGGGTGAGCGGAGGAGGGAGCTCAAGAGGGGCACTGAAAGCCCCGTGTACATGGGTGCAGGTCGCCAGGGGCCTGGAGCGGGTTGGGGTAGACAGGAGGTTTCTTGAAGGAGGTGGGCAGTGCCATCCGGCCAGGGTGGCAGGCCTTCCAGAGAAGGTTGCCTGTGGTCAAGACCCTCCCATGCCCGTGAGCACTAGGGCAAGGCTGGGTTAAGGGGCACCAGGGAAGTTTCTGCTCAGGCTCCCCCAGAGAGTCAGGGAGAGGCGACTCCAGGCCCCATGTGCTGCAGCAGGGGACGGGTACCAGGGCCTCCCTCCCAGTGTTGGCTCATAGTGGGCTGGACTGGGGAAACCGGGCTCCCTCCACCCCTTTGCTGCAGAGGGTCCTCCTGGGAACAGCAAGGAAACACGGGGCAGCGATAAGGATTTCCCCTCCCAGTGAGTCACCATGCTGGCAGCTGAGCCCCCAACTTCCCCTGTGGGGCCCAGGCCTGCCAGAACTCCTCTGATGCCCACCTGAGGCTGGGAAGGCCAGGATCCCAAGTGGCCGCCTGCTTGCTCCGGCTACCCAGCACACCTCATCCCCAGCCCCAGCTGGGAGACCCCCCAGCCAACTTCTGTCTCATTTCCTCTAGGGGGGCCCTGGGAGCTGAGGGCCTCTAGCATTAGGCCCCACATCCTCCAAGATCTGTCCCCTATGCCAGCATAAGACTGGGCTCCTGGGATGGAGAAGGTAGGCTCCACGTCCCTGGCGCCTCCTGTGCCAATCACTCAGCTCAGACACCAGCACCAGCCAAGGTGGGGGGCCAGCTGGTCCAGTGACTCTCCCAAGGCCACCCAGCCAGTCAGCACATGTCTGTCTGTCTGCCATGCCCTGCTAGGTGCTCCAGCCTCTCCCTTGCCAGACCACGAGCTGGAAGGGCAGGCCTGACGGTTCGAATTCAGGGCAGCTGCTTCTCATGTGACACTCCAGCTGCCACCGTTTGCCAAGTATCACTGTCCGACAGGTGGCCTCCCAGGCTCCTGAGGCCAGGCTCACAAGCCCAGGTGAGGCAGGTCCTCACACTATGCCCACCTTACAGACCAGAGCCCGAACCTCAGCAAGAGGGGAGGGGATCTGGCCCCAGGCGGCTCCTTTAAGCACTATAAGGGGGCAATAAAGGGCCCTCCCAGGATGCCACGCCATCTTAAGGGTCTCTGGTCCCAGGCTGGGGCAGCATGGGTGGGCAGGGAGGAGGGGCAGCAGGGGCTCAGCCAGGCCCTCTGGGGCAGCTTCCAAAACCCCCACCCAAGCTCCTTCTGGAGACCCTGCCCCTGGCACCTTGATGTTAATCAGATGCCCCAAAGGCATGCAGCAGGGATACAGGTTTCTACTGTTCGCCCTCCAGATCTGGGTTTGTCGGGCTTTCAGCAGGTGTCAGTGCCTTTCCAGGCCTGTTTCCCCGTCTAAAATACAGGCTTTGAGATTTCCTATCCCAGCTGTGCTGGGTGTGGTCGAGGGCATATGGGCAACCTAGGAGCCTGCGGGCAGTGCCACTGCGACCCAGGATGGCTCTGCTGTATGACGGCTCCTCTCAGTCCCTGCCCTCCACTGGAGGGTCAAGGCAGCAAACTGGCGGGCAGACAGTGAAGGGGGCCTTCATCCATCACCCATGTGAGCAACACCCACCCCAACCCCCCTTCCCCAGCCATGCTGACCATGAAGGTGGCAGCTCAGGTTACATCAGCCTTGGGACCCCCAGACTCTTCCTAAGGCTCGGCAGGGGTGGGGGGGCTTGGCATGGAGGAGGCCCCTGAAGGCTTTATCCACCAAGGAGTCTCCCAGGACCCCTGCTCCCAACTTAAGTCCACAGCCTCTCAACAGCCCTGCTCTCCTGGTCGGGAGTCTGTGCATGGGGCCACCTAACCCATTCCCCGTTTACAGGCTCGTGGCTTGGGTGGACATGCCCTGGAGAGGGTCTTCAGGAGGTTGAAACTACATGTTCCCAGGGAGACCGAAGCCCAGGGACCCCACCACCCTCAGGGCAGAGATGCTGACCTGGAGCTCCACATTCCCATCCCCAGTTAACAATCCCGATGATGTTTGCCCCCTTCAGGGTCCCACTGAGTCCCTAGACGCCCAGTGGGGAGGGCTTTAACCCTCTGCCACGGGCCAGTGAGGACCTCCAGTGCATGGCCCCTAAGGCGAGGGGCCCTAGCTGCTCCCGCCCCCATCCCTGTCCCATCAACGCCAGCAGGTTCCAGCCTGTCCCGCGGGAAGGCTGAACGGGTCCGTCCCCTCCCCTCGGGCTGCAGGCGGCGGCAGCCAAGTCCCGCCCTCCCGGAATCCCGGGACTTGGGGCCGCCAGGGCCTGGGCACCAGCCCCCTCCCCTGCCGTGCCACCGCCGCCGAACTCGACGGGCGTGCGGCCGCCCCAGGCCCGCGGTGGGGACGTTGCGTCCTGCCCTCCCGAAGGGACGCACGGTTCTCTGGCCGAGCCGGGTCCCTTCCGTCCGCCGGAATGCCGAGCCGCCTCGCCGGCCGAGACGCTGGGACTTAGGTCCGCACCTGGGCGTTCCCCGCCGAGCCCGAGCCCGCTCCGGCCCCGGCGCCCCGGCCGCGCTCACCTGGATGGTCTGGTTGGGGTCCCCGCCGGCCACCGGGCCGCCCACCAGCTTGCAGTAGAGGTCCTCGGTGGGGCGCGGGGCGCCGCGCGCCGGGGCCTCCTCGCCGCAGGTGGCCGAGGCGGCGATGCGGGCGCCCTCGGCCAGGTTGAAGTAGGGTGGGTGCAGGCTGAAGCCGCCGCCCGCCGCCGCCCGCGCCCGCGCCGCGCCCAGCAGCGCCAGCCCGCCCAGCAGCAGCAGCGGCGTGGGGCCCCGGGGTGCGCTCCGCACGCACAGCCGCGCTCCCGGCCTCGCCATCTTCCAGCTCCGGACCGCGGCGCGGGGGAGCCCGGCGGGAGTGCGGCGCGGCGGCCAGCTCGCCCCGCCCGCGAATGCTAGGCCCCGCCCCGGCCCGCCCGGGCCCGAGCCCCGCGCCCCGGAGGGGGAGGGGACGGGAGGGGCAGTTGGGGCCTTAACCCTTCCTGCCCCGGCCGGCCTCCCGGAAGGGGCACCTGCTGGCCCCGGGCCAGGCCCTGGGAACGCGGCGCCGCGGGGCCCGAGGGCGTGGCTCCCGCCCCGCGCGCCCGGCCGGCTTTTCCCAGCCCCGCGGCTCCACTCTTTGTTTCCCTAACTTTGGGCACCTCTTGTGGGCCGAGCGTGCCCGGCGGCCTGGGCGCCGGCGCTGTGGCCCCAACCAGGGCACGCTCTCCCTGGGTCCAGCCTGGACATCTGCCCTGTTAACGCCCAGCCCGTCCCACCCTCCGCCAAAACCGGCACAGCGCCCCGAGCGCTCGGGAACCTGGACGCTTGGGTCCCCCTGGCCTGACGGAGGGACTCCCGCAGGCCCCGCGCAGGCCCACCCTTCTCCCTGGGCCAGTTTTGGGCTTTTCTCCCCTTCAGACTGCCAGCGCCGCATCCTGCAGGTGTACCACATGAGCACGCGGCTCGCTGTGAGTGGTCGCAGGTGGGGGCCTGGAGGGAGTATGATCTGCAAAGGGACCGGGAGACCCCGTGCTTCCCTGGGGCAGCCAGGCCAGATTCACCCCTGCCTGGCTCCTGCCTGCCCCAGGTTGGTCTTAAAAATACTCTAAAATAGGGAAATGGACCAGGGGGGACTGGACCCTGCGTGCCCACCTATGGGGCCCCTGTGGCAAAGGGAGGGTGCTGATAGCCTCCTGAGGGCCAGGACGGTGGCTGAAAGGGCACCTGCTGAGCACCTGCTGTGTGCATGTTTGCTGTGGGGGTTGGGGGTGGAGGGTAGTGAGCCAGCCCTTTTGCTTGCGACGCCTTCCTCTGGGTCACTGTGGACTCCACCATCTCTGTCCAGGAGCCCTCTGGCTCAGGCCACTCCCCTGCACAGGGCTCCCAAGGTTGCCCATGAAATGGGTCCGGACCCAGAGGCCAGAGCTAAGGGTTGTGTCTCAGCTGTTCCTGCGTTTGGATGGCACTGGCCACTGGATCTCCTCCCCTCAGGCTCATGTCCCTCATCGGCCTGGAGGCAAGTCCGTGAGGGATGGCAGGGGAACGCAGCTGCCGGGCTGGCAGCTCCCCTGTTCTCTGAGCCAGGACAGCGGGTGTGTGTCCCACGTGGGACCCCCCAGACAGTCCTGGGTGGCTGGGTGAGTGTGCAAAGCAATGACCAGCTGGTCCTGGCAGGGGTCCTGGCCTGAAGCTGTTCCTGAAGCTTGCACCACATCTTCCTGGCTGCCCCTGGCCTCCTGCGAATCGTGAACCCCTCCAGGCTGAGCTGCCCCTTCTCTTTGGGGTTGGGAAATAGGCAGTGGGATGACCCTCTGCTCTCGTCGTCCCCTCTACCCTCCTCATAATTCGGAGGCCTCACCTTTAGCCCCTCCACCTAGAGAAGGAGGAGATAGGCTCCCTTCGTAGGATGCCTCCAGGTGGGGAGGGGCCGACCCGGAGGGCGGCACGGGGAGGAGGAATCCGAGGCTCCTCACAGGCCGGCTGGCTTGAGGTGGGGCCGGGACCTGGGGCAAACGTCAGGGTTAATGTTTCCTGCCTAGGATGAAAAGTGCTGAGATATAAACAGTACAGTAAGAAAAGGAGGGACCCCACCTTAAGGCTAAGGTTCCCTTTCAGTAGCCAGGGAATTAGGAGGTAAATCCTAACATATTTTATGGTAACCAGCCAATAACCAAGCGACCTTATGTTAAGGCAGTACAAGCAGCCCTAAATGGTATGTCCCCACTGCTTGAGGGTGACCACTATCTTGGAGAAGAGCTGGATCAATGAATTCCTGTGTTAAGTTTATCTCGCAGAATCTCTAGAGGGCTGACTGTGGATGGCAGTGTAGTGTCTCCCTGGAGACGGACGCCCTGAGACCACAGTTGGCCTGTGCACCTTCCCTGGCCCTTCGCCCCATTCTTGAGATTCTTAAAAGACATGAATCCTAAACTTTAAGCACACCTCTTCTCTGAGGCTGCCCACACTCTCCCTTTTCTTAGAGTGTGTACTTTACCTTAAATAAAGCCTTCTCGCTGCCCAACTTAATGTGTCTTGTCTCTGAGCTCTTCCAGCAGTGTTTTTGTTACTTTGCTGTTTTTCATTCAATATTCTAGTCTT